TTCTTTCTTAGAACCATCCATTTTCTATCCCATTCAAAGCTGCCTATTTATGAGCCTGCCGTACTCAATGGCATTACTCTCCATCTCTTTACCCATATATTGATTCAGAAGTTTTTATTTTTTTACAGAAGTTTCAGAAGTTATATTTTTACATATTTTTTCTTGGATCACGATTTTAATGAAACAAAGAGCAGAGATGTCCAACTGTAGTCCGCATTTTCATTTCAATTCTCCCAAGAGCCGTGGAAATAAAAGCTTGTAGGTCGCAATCGATGTCCCATTAAAACCAAGCTATTTTCTTTTACCTTGCCTTCTTCTTCAGTTAACACGCAACACGGTTCGATCTCGTAACGTTATGAATAATAAAATGTTTCAGGCACTGAAAGCCTTGGCAAACTCACTGACATATTCTTGCAACAAAAAATACCTACTATAATAATTTTACTACGACAAGGCACTTCCAAACAGTAAAATTCAAAACAAGATTTTCCATGAAAAATCATCGCGATCAACGAATTTTGCATCTTTGGAAAGCCTTGCAGGGGTTCCTATTTCATTGGCAGCGATCGCTCACGACAAGCCTTTATGTTCACCATATTTGGGGTCCCAGGTCCTGGAGAATATAAAGCGACCACCTCCATTAAAGGTTTGAATTTCGCCCGTACAAAATACAGGGACGTTTAACACTCAAACAGCTTGTAGCGCGTCAATGGAATGCCGTCTACTGGAGACCGCGAGCCGGATGTTAGGAACCTTTACGTGAATTCACCTTCTAATTTCCTTGAAACATTACAAGCTATTTAAAGTAACATACTGGATATTATTTCATACTGGTAACCCAATAAATTTTGTTCGCTGTGGTGTGCGGAAATAAGTGCATCTACACTAGTATCAAATCTAGTATTAGTATATTAAATCTACACTAGTATTAGTCCCATACTAGAGGAACTAAATGCACGTCAACGTGGCACTAGATGTATAGTTTATTTAAGTGGTTATACACTCCTATTATCTAACAGCTATATATACTATCTATATAAATATTATCTCAACCTACGTAAGAAATGTCATCGCATCAGACCACAATTTCAAATTATCATTGATCGGATCTTTAGTTCAGGGTTGAGATGTATTGGTTGCTTCAGAAATATGATTGTCTGTCGCACTTAGAATACCACAATCTTAAGAGTGTCATAGGGATATAACAGTCATAATCGTAAGACTGTCGTAGGGATAAAACAGTCATTATCTTAAGACTGTCGTAGGGATATAACAGTCATAATCTTAAGACTGTGGTAGGGATAAAACAGTCATAATCTTAAGAGTGTCATAGGGATAAAACAGTCATAATCTTATGACTGTCGTAGGGATAAAACAGTCATAATCTTAAGAGTGTCATAGGGATAAAACAGTCATAATCGTAAGACTGTCGTAGGGATAAAACAGTCATAATCTTAAGACTGTCGTAGGGATAAAGCAGTTATAATCTTATGACTATCGTAGGGATAAAACAGTCATAATCTTATGACTGTCATAATCTTATGACTGTCATAATCTTATGACTGTCATAATCTTATGACTGTCATAATCTTATGACTGTCTAAAATCCGCATAGCCCACTCCGCGTTGGCGCTGGAGGGAAGCTCATCTCTGCATGCCGACAGCCGACATGATCAGCATGGCATTAATGTCATATAAATTTCATGTATGGGGTTGAAATTAAATTATAAATCTTACAGGATATTCCTCTCATTCCCACAGTTGAGGCTGAAGGTTAATAAACGCGATTGATTATGCATGCATCATTGAGTGAAAAAAAGCAAATAAATATTTCAATTTTGTTGTGTAATTCAGTTTAAATTTACTAGTAATTAAAATAATTTCATATAAGAGATGTAGAAAATTTAAATCGTCTCCTCAAAAATATAAAATAATCTGATTGAGTTATAGAAACGATAATTATCTGAATTTAACAATTGTGCTTGCTTATCTATTTGTATTTTTAAAATGTGTAAAATTCAACGTAAATCAGACAGCCGAATTGAAAATGATTGTAATAGTTCAAATGTTAATGAGATGCTCGTGTAAACCTGCTGTGGGTCACGGTTACGATCACTGCGGGTATTCGGCTAGTGCGGTTGCTGAATAAACATACTGTATAAAAATAGCGCTTACGCAATAATGTTATTTCGTCGCGAGCCTCTAGTCTATGCTGGAATATACCATCGTCAATGGCAAGATTCCAGCCAATGACCAGGTTCGTTATGGCGTGTTTGGGATAATGACGTTATCACGGTTCGTTCAAATACGGCGTAATAATGTAGTCTTAGTAATAACATTTCACGGTTTGTTAAGAATTGCGTCTTGTATGACAGCCTGACAATCGAGGTTGACGGACGAGCCAAAAGTTGTGTCGTGCGGGAACGAATGGTCGAAATTTACTTCAAGCAAATTACGCTCAAATTAATGTTTAATCAACGTTATTATTTCAAAGTCAGATGCCCGGTGAGTAGGAATACCGATGTTTGATTTATAAGACAAAATGACGTGGAAGGTCCCGGCCTTGGGCACACTGACCTTGGGCCATACTGACCATGCAGGTCCCCAGGGTCATGCCTAACTGGTTGGCAGGTCCTGCAAGACTCATAAAATCTGCATGAAAAGTGGACATGCATCACTCAAAAAAATATAACCCAGTACCCACTGCAGTGAGTGACAGAGAGCGCATTTTCTCAAAATCGACGAAAACGTGAAGTCACGGACAGACAGACAGACGGACGGACAGACGGACATGGCGAGCACAATAGCGCATTTTTTCCACAAATGAGAAAATGCACTAAAAATGGTTGAGATTTTCACCAAGTAACGATGCTTTATTTACACTTTTTATTGGTAATTTGGACCAAGTTTAGCTCTTCAAAAGGGAGTATCAGTGCTCCATGCAGATGCTGAGTCACTATTTGGACAAAATGATCAATTCATATTTCTGAGTATAGGCGCCGTGCATCACTTGCGCTTCAATGCAGAAGCTGAGACTCCCGCGCGTAAAAACCGGTTTGAGGTGCGTTAAAAAACTCTTCTTGATCTGCCTTTATAATTTCCTTGTCTCATAAAACAACCATGAATCAAAACACGGAATTTATACAGCGACTTGTGAATGTTTCTTTTAACTTAGTCTGAAGCACAGCGATCCTTGCAGGATGGAATACCAAAAACTTATCAACCAAAGGATTTTATTCCGAGTAAATGCGCTTGGCTTTCAACACGAACCTGTACCAAACAAATGCAGATGAGATGAATGAATAATTAGGAATAGGTATTAATTCCGCATCAATATGCGTTTTAAATTGTTGTAAAATATCGTCCTCTCCTCACTATTGATCAACTGTAATAGGAAGTTAATGTTGGATAAAAACTTTAAGCAAAATCAAGCATTTTATAGTAAATCAGGCAGCAGTGAAATTTCAAAAAGTGCATTAGTTTTAGCTAGTTTTGAGCATTAATAATTAAGCAGACAAATTATTTCTGAACTTTGGCTTGAAATTTTGAATACATATATTTTTTTTAATACCTATATAGATGTAATTCTTCTGCGTTATTATTTACACTTCGTACAAAGAACATGCACAGAATTAACAAAAAATATAAAATAATTTAGTATATAGCACTTACAATAAATTAGTATTTGGTACTTAGTATAATTTAGTATTTAGCACTTAGAACAATTTGGGGGTATTTTAGTACTTAATACCTACCTAGAATAATTTCGTATTTATTTGACTAATTTAGTATTAATACTTAGAATAATTTAGTATTCAATAATCAAAATAATTTAGTATTTAGTATTTGGAATTATTTAGTATTAAATGACTAGAATAATTAAATATTTAATGCCTATAATAATATAGTATTTAGTTTATCAAGATCCTCCTGGTATTGTGCCCGTCTAGTGCAATAGTGACAGAGATCCTCCTGATATTGTTCGCCTGTGATACAATAGTGACAGCTTATCTTAGCAAATATAAATAGTGGATTTTCGAAAAATTAAGGAAAATTTATGTATTTATTTTGCTTTTTTGAAATCGTAGCAAAATGTTGGTTTAGTGTCCTTAAAGAAAATGCTGCGCGGAACAGTCCACAAGCGTACGATTCAATAACTCTTTTTATACTCATTTCAATACATGAAGAAATTTATACTCCTGATTAGCGAAATAATCCGTCATTACCTGTGATTCTAAGCAGGGATAAGTAAATTTATTAAGTAAGACTATCATGAGCATACTCGTATAAAAATTGAGTGTCATTCGCTTAATAATTATTCATGCATTTAACGTGTCTTCAACAATTTACCATCTCCTAAACAAATATCGTGAGCAAATATCTCTTCATATATCTATATTAAGTAATCAAATATCCGCTCTGCCTTCATGTGAAGAAGTGGGCCATGAACGCCTTCTGTCTCTCCCCTGCGAAAGATTAACGCACTTTCGGCGTGCACTCTTACTTTCACGCGGCGTCCTTCCTCTGCACTGCAACAACAAATGCGAGCGCGATTATAAACGCGAAAAAAATGGGATCGTCTTCCTGCCTGAAGCGGCAGAAGCTGAGAGTCTTCAGGTGCTGAGGCGGCAAGTCGTTCCGAGGCCAACCACATTCAATTAACGTAGCCTTTAACAGTTCTGTAGGGACCAGGAAACCCGAATAAAGTCAAACGAAATCGTTTCAAGGAGGACGAAACACAGCCTGTGAGCCTGCCAATGGAGGGGGGGCCCGTGAGATCTGAGATCTATTATCAAGAAACTTAGGTTATTGTTGTATGAGAGTAGCGTGTAATTGACGCAGTCGAACAGGAAGTTGGTTACCCACAGCAAAGGATGGCATGGGGTGAAGGCACCAATGGCAGGGCCGATGCAAGTCACGTGGTCTTCTGGCAACACTGCACGCGTCTCTTACGAGGTATATAAGGGAAGGGTAGTGCATCTGCAGCCTCGAGTCGATTATTGTAAGTTGTGTTGTAAGGACGAGCGTCAGTACAACTCCGGGCGATGAGGCTGGAGTTAACTTATTTGGTGCTGGTGCTCGGTAAGTGCGCGGTGTACAACAAAGTAATGATGTCTGGAAAGTTGTAGCGACTGCTGCAATATATTTGCGTATCTGGAGCTGGTAAGTAGGCCATAATGCGGCAAATGAACTGCAGTAACGCAAAAAAGTTCAAGTTGGGTAGACATTTCATCAACATTGAACGCACTATATGACCATTATCCGTCTTACCAGAATCCGGTCAAGTTACTGGAAGCTTTCAGAAATTATTGCTTGGAAATTAATTTGATGGAAAGAGATAATTTAAAATTGGCAATACAAAGCCAATCAAGTTTTACGAATTGATGAACAAAATAGTAACAATTAGTTCTACTCTACGTGTTAGCAACTCAATTACCTAACGTATAAAAGGTATCAGGAAAAAATGTAAGAAAGAGGGTTGCGATAACTTGTACATTGTCAGCACACATCTGAGCTTGGATACAAGGCACTTTTACAGACAATCGCCAGAAACATTAACATATTTCTTGAATAAAGGCAAGCTACCATTAAAGGTCATCTACCAGTATTCTCAGTTTACTGGTAGCAAGATTTAAAAGAGATTCCTTAATGAACTATCTAATCGAAAAAAGTAAGGTTTCATTCTGACGCATTTCAGCGAGCGACTTCGCCCTTCAACCTAAGTTATTCATTGATTTGACATAACTTTACGATGCCATCGTTACTCTGCGAATGTTGTAAAATTTTGATATTCGTATACTTCATGTCGAAAAGCGACACCACAATACTAACGGCGGACATTTGATTGTCTGTCACTTAAGGATCCCGCACCGCAATCGGACAATCTATCGGTCAGTGAAGGATCCTACCACGCAATCGGATAACTCACTAATTGGTTAAGGGTTCTACACCGCAAACGGAAATCCATTGGCTAGCAGCGGATCACGCATCGAAATCGTGCAATCCATCTGTTAGTAACGGATTTGCAACGCAAATGGACACTCCATCGGCTAGAAAAGGATCCCAAACCGCAATCGGACAACTCATCGATTAGTAGAGAATCACACACCGCAATCGGACAATCCATGTGTTAGTAAAAAATCTTTCATTGCAATCGGACAGTCCATCTGTTAGTCAATCCATCTGTTAGTATAGAATACCGTACCACAATCGGACAATCCATGTGTTAGTAAGGATCCCAAACCGCAATCGGACAACTCATCGATTAGTAGAGAATCACACACCGCAATCGGACAATCCATGTGTTAGTAAAAAATCTTTCATTGCAATCGGACAGTCCATCTGTTAGTCAATCCATCTGTTAGTATAGACTCCCGTACCACAATCGGACAATCCATGTGTTAGTAAAAATCTTTCATTGAAATCGGACAGTCCATCTGTTAGTCAATCCATCTGTTAGTATAGAATACCGTACGACCATCGGACAATCGACAAAACATGCATCCGTCACAATTCTGGGACGATAATACATTCAGAAGAAGCTTCGCGTAGAACACAGCCATGGAGCGTGACAGCGCTTCTGTCGCAACCACAGCTCAATGGCGAGCCGGGATTAAGCAGTTTCGTAACTCGTTTGATACTAGGAATAAATTTGCATTTATGAAGTTCAAAAAGTGTCGTAATTCTTGAGATACCTGCAGAGAAGTTATCTCTACAAAGTTAAAACGTCACTAGTCAGTTGTGTTACTTTAATCGCTTCACCAGGAATTTAAAAGCTAAGAAATCTCAATGAAAATTCACCATCATCAGTTTAAAGATTTCTTAAAGAATATATAAGTACTATGTCAGTTAGATCCTGCTGCTGATTGTACTTGTATTTTCTAAAAGGTTTTGAACTTGTGATTAAGCTGGTGTCCGAAACGTTATAAAAAATTTGGTAAATTTCTTACTTCAAGTTTTCTTTGCTTTTAAGTTCTTTAATTGTGACGTTAACATTGCTTTGTAGTTCTTGAGATACCAACTTCCGGCCAATTGATTAAGTGGCTGTTCTTACAACTATTTATATGAAGTAATAGTAAGAATAGCTAGCATGCTCACAATTGTTTTCTCCATCTATTGTGATTTTATAATTTTTATTTAAAATTACATAAATGCTTATTGCTTTAAATCTGTCTTGCACTTTTCCGCGAGATGAACTTGCTGAAGTTCATAATAATACTTATCCTGAGATTAAAAATCTAAACGGATTCACTATGAACACTCATGTCGAAATATCAGGTTATTTTCTACTATGCATCACCTACGGGAAATTTTTTATTCACAAAAGGCAGCGAAATAAATATCTTATTATTCACTTACTGTTCGTATTGCGACGATCCCTTGATTCTATTATATTTTTGCCCTCATAAAAACTTGGAAGATTTGGCAGGGTGGTGAGGAACTTAAAATCTTTTTCCTAAAATATCAACATTACATTTCATATATGATAGATAACTGAAAAATGCTCGACCAGCGTGGACAATGCAATGATTGTGATTAGCAATGAAATCATGTCATACGCGAAAAGTTTGAGCGAGACAAGCGCGGCAATTGGCATTGAAATCATGCCCATAAACATGAGACTGCATGAGCGAGACACGCGTAGCAAGCTGCGAAGAAATCTTGTCATACATGTAACATGAGTTTGAGCGGGAAAAAATGTGGCAATCGCAATAAAATCATGCCATAAAACACGAGTTTGAGCGAGACACGATCGGAAATTGGCATTGAAATCATGCTACAAAATGTGAGTTCGAGCGAGACTCGCGGGCAATACTAAGATACATGCACCAAGCAGGAGAAATTCTATCTTTGCCACAGACTTAGGCCGACCAGTATTTACCCAGAGCTGACCTTGGCTGCACATCAGCCTTCAGCTTTATTTGCTGAAGAATTTATTACTTGATCCTGTGGGCCTGTCAGTGTGAATATTTAGCCGCCATTTCAAAGACATTTTAGACAAATTCTCCTAACTTTGTGGAGACTTCGATCGTATTTTTTGTTTGTGGTGAACCTCCCTGTCAGCTTGTAGCACGAGATCGTTGAATCTTGATTCTTTATTAGCAAATTTATACTTATATGTCTGTCAAAATTATGTTCCGCTTTCTAACAGTGTAATTTATTGCATCAGAATTCAATTATTACGAATAGAAAGAGGCAATTACAATAAACGCTAACAGTTATTAATGTAAAAGTTCGCTGTCGGGAAACGTACACTTGACTTTAACAACTTTGCCATGAGCAGCAGTCATAAACTCACGTACGAAATTCGGTGTTCATCTTTGAAAGTAATAACAGCTGTTCACGGGAGAATGTTCCCCGGTTGAACTACACTAATAACGGTCACGGATAGTTTGTTTGTAACTTGCAAAAAATATAAATATAACAGAGTGCGAGCCTGGTTCTTTGCGAACAGTACAATTTTTTCGTGATCTCTGTTGCAATATTAATGTGTATTAATAATAGAAGGTCATTATATTAAATCATTCCAGATTTCAGGCAATAATTGAAGTTGTAATGTCTTCAACTCATTTCCTTTTCCTGCAAAATAAAATGATCCAGCTAAATTCTTGAGAGCTTGTGTAGGTTACGATAAAGGCAAACAATAACAATCATGTAAGATGTAAGTCTTCTATTCGATACATCCTTTGAATGTGTTCTATTATCCCTTGTATACAATAACTTCTGACATTGAACTTTTAACAAAAAGTAAGAGATTAAACTGAATTATCATGTAAACGAAATGACCGGGGGATGAATAGATTGTGAAAGGTTGAGTGGTGAGAATTAAATCTTAAAAATAAAAATATTTGATGAAAAAGAACTTTCAGTACTTGAAAGAAGGAACTATTTAAAAAAAAATAAAAAATAAAAAAAGCGTTCATCATCGAAGCGCCTAAATTTTGTTTTAACTTCATAATTGTGACGCCGCAATAAATAGGGCGCAGCTTTGCTAAATCAGAATTAGGTTGTGTTTTCTATTTTTCATATATAATATATCTTGGATCAATATATACTTCAGTATATACTACTGCAGTATATATTGCTCCAATATATATATATATATATATACTGCTCCAAGTTTAGCTGTTGCTGTTCTACTACTACATAAGCACTACTGCAGTATGTAATGCTTATACTTCGTTTCATTCACATTGCCTGCTCTCTCAAGAAATTATCTTAACATCTTACTGCTCGAAGTAAATTTTCAGGGACCAGGCTAAAGACAATTATTATACTGGAAAACTTTGCCGCTGGGAAACATGCAGTTCTGAATTTTGGTTCCGAGAGCCTTTGTATAGCAGCCCTTGAAACGCTTTAACATTAATGCATTTATCTCATAAAGTATGCAGCATAAAACATATATTTTGTAACCCTAACAACTATTCTTCTATCTACACTATGAGTTAAAATAGTCGGTCATTCATATTGTTTGCATCTACACTTCGAAAATCCCGTTCCTTCTTTTAGACAATTATTACCACTGAATAAATTATAAATCTTCAAGACAATAAAACTAAAATGTGGCCTTAAATCGCCCATAAAAGTCCAGTTTTGCCGTGCTGACCCGAGTGTGAAGGCCAACTTGTGAGAGAGCATCCCTGGTCTGAACAACGTCCAGTTCCTGCAGGAATTTATCATCAGTCGTCCTGCAAATATAAAGGGATCCCATGCAGCGGATCCTATCGTAGTAGTCGTCCTGAAAATATTAAGGCATCCTCTTGTATCCTATCTTGAGGCTGCAGCGCGTCTTTTGTATGCCTGTCGGGTCGATATTTCCTATGTCCATTTCCATTCAAGTCCCAGTGAGGCATAAACTGTGGTAAAAACTTCAGGGATACATGAATTGACTCACAAAAACGCGAGTAAAAAGATGAGTTCAAGTTTTTCAGTAACGACATCATTTCTTAAAATTAAAAGTCTTGTGCCATTCTTCTCCAACTTTGTGCCATATTCTTCTTCACTGAACAATTTTCCCGTAATTCAGTTTTAAATCCCATAAGTCGTGATGTCGTGAATCAGAACAGGTTGAGCGCTTAACCAAAGAAGATAAAAACACGATATAAAGCAGTAAACCAAGGAAGGGGGGTAAAGCAAGGAATGTAAATATGAGAGGTAAACAAAAGAAAGTGAAGATGAGCGGTAAATCAAGAAAACACTGATCATCGATAAAGTACTCTGCGCGTTCAGGCCATCCAGTTTTCGGAAATGCGGGAAAATTTTTCATATAGGATTTCACGCCAAATGGGACTCTTTTCATGTAGGACATGAGCAAAAATGTAAGTTACTCGATGTGATTCCCTGCGTATTTTTGTACAGAACTCGGGAAGATTTTTCGTTGCCCAGAGTTACTCAAGAAGATCCGTTCGGGATTCGAGACAAAGAGATCTTATAAGGCGATAGTTTGACCATCGCTGAAAACTCTGAAGTCTGCATATTTTAGCAGAAATCACGACCCCAAAGAAAGAGAGAACAAAGAGTTACCACGCAAGACTACATAAACTCTCTGAGCTTGTCAGTCGTGGGCCACAAAAACGCGCCAGTGAGCAAAGCCGAGTGTCGAAAGGGAAAGGATCGGCAAGCATATGCTGGGCGGACCTTGAAGATGAGTAACGCTCCGTCATGCTGTGGACCCGTTATGATCAATGCAAAAAATGCCTCATCGACGATTTTATCGCTTGATATTCTATTAAACTTTCTCTCTGGCTTCAAATAAATATATATAGAGTTTGGCAACTGACACAAGTTTTATTTGCAGGTTTGGCAGCCTTGGCCGGCGCACAGCAGCGGCCACAGTATGATTACTTGCCGCCTGAAAATCCTCTCGAACCTGGAGCGAGCGGTCCAGGTTTCGACTTCCTAAATCTGCCCCAACCGCCTGCTCCAACACCACCGCGTCCAGCACCAACACCACCGCGTCCAGCACCTACACCAGCGCGTCCAGTGCCTACTCCAGCGCGTCCAGTGCCTACACCGCCGCGTCCAGCACCAACACCAGCTCGTCCAGTGCCTACACCCCCACGTCCAGCACCAACACCAGCTCGTCCAGTGCCTACACCAGCGCGTCCTGAGCCTCCGCGTCCAGAGCCCCCGCGCCCTCGTCCAGCTCCTGCACCTACTGTGAGTATGTCCGGGGACTTAGAGATGAAGGTCCCGCGAGTATATATATGTTCAACTGAGGACAGGAATTTGATGACTATGTGAGGGATAAGTAACCCTAATAAAATTCGGGGTCTGCCTAGGCTTCGGACGAATAGTCGCTACACTCGGCGCAAAGTTATTCTGGGTCCGCTTGGCCATCAGATCGAAATAAGTTTCTGGTCAGATTCTCCTTTTCAACTTTGTCGCGTGATAGTATGAGAAGGGTTGTCCGAGGCGAGTCATAACAAGCATACATGCTGCCCAGAGGCTGCCGCCCTTCAAACCCTGAGCCAAAGCGGACATGAGCAGCTGATTTAGGAGCCCCCCGAGTCCTAGGCGTTACCTATTCGAGAGTCAGACCCGTATCTAAATTTTGTTAGGGGAAGAGCTAACATCTTAAGATATGTCTAAAGGCAGAAAGATCTTCTGTCTTAAGACGTATCTTAATACGGGGTGAAACGTTACAATCATTGCGGAGGTACACACTGATTCATGGCTAGCACCTTCGACCGTAAGGTCGACATACTTCTAATACAATGAGTACTACATCGTTGAGGTCGCGCACGCTACTGGGAGAGGACTTATGAAAACGCCCAGCCCTTTTATAAACCTGGAGTTTCCGTCATGTCGGGAAGTGATCTTGCTCTCGTGATGTTGTTAATACTGACTCAGCGTCCAGCATTTCAGTAATCTCTGTCGTTTCTATTTAGAGCATATTGCGTCTCATATTAAAGATTCTCTGATCTAATAATATAATTAGAATGAGGTGCTTTACCCCTGACACCCGCAGTGAGTAATTGTTTCTCCAAAACTTTCAAGTACATTTTGAATGCAGTTCTGCAAGTATTTTTCGCCGGAAAATATATTTTTTATTTTCTTCCGAGTGATGGTGTATGACGAGTTTATCGCAACCATATGAAAGAATTTGTGAGAAATTTCGATGAATCTCAATCTATCTCCTCACTTTGTGTTACTAGAATCGGTCCAGAAGGCTTTTCTTTCTACTCTGTTTATTTCTAACAGCCTAGCGTTGATCACCACCACCACCACCATGATGATCACCACCACCATCATCACCACAGCGATGATCCTTTGGAATGGCTACGTGAAGCCGTGCCTGGCGAGCCTGGCGACGACTATCCCATTTTCGGCGTCATCCCTCAGACCTCATTCGTTTGTGAGGGCAAAGTTGAGGGTAAGCGAGAACTAAGATTTGTGAGGGTAATGCAGAGAGTAAACATAATTAAGATTTAGGGGTACAGCAGAATATAAGCACCACTCCAGGCAAATAACTTGAAAAAAATGTTGATTACGAGTAGATTTCTTAAAAGCACCTTTTAATCACTGTTATTTCAATATTAAATGCCCGTAAATGGGAAGGCAATGATTATCCAATATAAAAAAGAAGGTAAGCAAACCTCCATGTAAATGACGTTGATAAATCATTAAGTACGAGTAGGTTTTGTAGAAGTAACGCTTAATCGATGTTATTTAAACGTCAAAAGCCTAGAGAAGGCCATGGCTTTACGGGGAAGGGCAGAAGCTATAGGCATGGTCGGAACCCCGATGCCTTTAGCAATGGTGGTCTTTAGATGCAGGTAGAAACAGTGCCAAAATTTATGCCAGGTCTTGTTCGGCAAAACATTGAATAAGGATCTCACAAGTTTAATATTTTGTGTGGATCATACAGATAAAGTTAAGGTTGACGCGCTAGGGGGGCCATTTTTTATACGCTTCTTGAGGAAAATTACCTTCAGAGAGAGAAACAAAGGATTTCGATTACAAAAATAATGTTACTTCCAATTATGCTTTTACTTGCAAAATTAACTGGCGCCAACAGTGAATAATTTCATAATTTGAACCTGAACGATTTAGTTAGTTCATGATTTATTGGAGCGAAATGTAGAGTACACATTCATTTGGCAAGTATTCATAGATTTTAACTCTGCTTTTTGGATAAACAAAAATTTTATTGGCATGGACTCATAGATAATTACAAATTCCTCTCAAATTTGAAGACACGGAAACTATTGTCTATCTTCAACGTGGTTTTTGATCGTCAAACTAGCGCAACATAAATTCAAAAACCTCAAAAGTCTTCTTGGTGTACCTCAAAAGTCTTTTTGTATGAACAGTTAACTTTCTTGGAGGTTCTGAGAAACAACGCTCACACATTAAAAATTCTTATATTAACAGTTGACTTTCTTGGGGTCTTCTCAGCAGCAACCCTCACAAAACTCATGCCCAAAAAATCCTCTTGTCCTAACGGTTTTTTTTTGTCAGGATACTACGCGGACATTGAAACACGCTGCCAGGTCTTCAGGGTTTGCTCCCTCAACTCGAAACTTCAAATGCAAACTACTTCTTTCCTCTGCCCCAACGGAACGATCTTCCATCAAGAACATTTCACGTGTAAGTGGTGGAATGAAGTAGACTGCAGCGTCTCACAAACTTTCTACTCCCTCAACAACGAAATTGGAGTGACAACTCCGCGGGCTCCAGGCTCGCCGGATGCCATTCCACCACAGCGTCCAGGTGCGCCTCGGCCTGTTCCAGCACCCGCTCCACCTCGACCAATTCCAGCTCCTGCTCCACCTCGGCCAATTCCAGCTCCTGCTCCACCACGGCCAATTCCAGCACCCGCACCACCTCGGCCAATTCCAGCTCCTGCTCCACCTCTACCATTTCCAGCTCCCGCTCCACCTCGGCCAATTCCAGCACCCGCTCCACCTCGGCCAATTCCAGCACCCGCTCCACCTCGGCCAATTCCAGCGCCTGCCCCACCTCGGCCAATCCCAGCTCCCGCTCCACCGCGGCCTCTTCCGCCTCCAATTCCAACTTCACCTCCATTTTCTCCACCCGGTATTGGATTGCCGTCATTCAACACTGACACTCTGCTCGGACTGCCTCAACCTGCATACGGCCCAGCACCAACACCTGCTCCCCCCACGCCTCCACGTCTCCCTCAACCGCAACCCACTCAACCTCGTCCTACGCAGCCCCGTCCCACTCAACCTCGTCCAACTCAACCCCGTCCTACTCAACCCCGCCCCACTCAACCCCAACCTACTCCACCTCGGCCTACGCAACCCCGTCCCACTCAACCTCAACCCACTCCACCTCGACCTACGCAACCCCGTCCAACTCAACCTCAACCCACTCCACCTCGTCCAACTCCGTCCCGTCCCACTCAACCGCAACCCACACAACCACGTCCTACTCAGCCTCGTCCAATTCCTACTCAACCTCCTCGTCCTCCTCCACCTCGTCCTACTCCAGGTCGGCCTGAACTCTCTCCTGGAGGCTTTCCAGAAACTCCAGGTTACTCCTACCCTGACCCTCCATTCGGTCTTTACCAAACTCCCAATCTGGGCAAACAAATTTCGTGAAAAAACTGCTTACTGAAACCAAATTTACGATATTGACCACTTGGATTTGAACCCCCAAGGCTGCATGGATTTCGTTTTTCATTTGACTTAACTCTGCAAGCCATTGCTTGATTAGAAACACTTAAAAATCCAGAAACTGTGAACATTTTTGATTGGTCATCAGATATTTTATTGCAACACATGATACAGTGGGATATTTGATAGACAGCATATGACGCTCTGTAAGTTACAACTTCAACATGTACAAGGAGTAAACTGTGATAGCTACGTAGGTTACCTCCACGCTGTGTGATTCTCTGGATAGAATGTACAATACTACGCTCTTTTCGATAGCATTAAGAACAACGACTTGTACAGCGCACCATTTACCACTCGATTTGTATTAAATAATTATGAACCTAAGTTGTATCATTCATCCAATATGATGAAAATTTCATTATTGTATACCTTTCTGAAACGAGTAAAATATGGAAGGTGTGTTAGCGCCCAAAATATTCAAAACTTTTTGCCACTTTGGCCAAAAGTTTATAAGTCTAGCATTCATTTACACGTTTCATTTAAAAAAGATTGATGTGGCAACATCAGTGACTGCGTAGAATAAGCTTTCGCAAGCCTGTTCGAAGAATGACGACGTGGAAAAAGAATATGTTTCCCACGCCTTCCCGTTTCTAACTATGAAGCTCCGCCTGCTCTCAACAAACTAATATGATGAGAGTCATTGTCTGTGATGTATCGTAAGTTTTCAATTGGATCAAAGGGTTCTTAATGTGAATATCTCGCATGTAAATAATTTAGGTAAACTCTGTATGTGGGAACTTTGGGCCGGGCCGCCGGGATCTATATCAATACAATAAAAATCGACGATAGTCAAAATTAGGCCTATTCCTGAATGCAGTCAATACTGTTCTTGGCCATACTAAATTATGTTAGAGGTGACTACTTACTGATGTGATTGTCTCAAAGATCTCAAAGGTTATGAACGCTTAGCTGCTAGTCCTCGTGTTGATTTTCTAGTTGATTTTTAACTTTCGAAGGTACGGTTCTTCATGGAATGAAAGCTCTAATAGCTTGTACTCGGCAGTGTAATATAAAAGAGCGCATTTAAACAGTTTGGGCTGGTAACTAAGGGAACAGATGCCGCGCAGTCATTTCAAGAGCATTTCAAGCCGAAATGAACCAGATTTATCGCACTCTGGCGAATCTAGATCAAATTGCAAGTATAGAGTAGAATATACCGTTTCATCAAATAGTGTGAACATAATTATTTTATCATTTCTGTTCATTCGTGCAATCCTAAATCACGAAGCGTGTAATACAAACAAACTGGAATGTGTGATACTTTCATTGTACCGTAAATTTCATCTTGTGCACGCAAGGCTTGGGAAAAGCAGTAGTTAAGAACGGCTGGGATATCAGCTCTAAGGTTTCTCCAGTGGACAACACTACTTTGTAGGTGCTGGAATTTGTCCATTTGAAGAGATCCAATTTAGATGCTGTGCTGTAGAAACTAAAGTGTTGAAAATCATAACTGCCGCAGTGCTTTGTCGCGGTTTGCAGGAAAACTTGCCTAACTACATTTAGAACGTGGATACGTTACAAGTTCTGAAATGTTTCCCTTCGATCAAGCCTACGTGGTACCTTACTACGAACATGTTCCACCGTCTGTAAGCCCTGATAAGCTGCACCTGGCGACTGAGTATCACGACCCATCCAGTCCACGTAACATCCAAGGTATATTCAAAAACCTGTGGGAGAAACTACTCTCTGCCATTCCCATTAGCCTAACCACAGGTGGAAGACCAGCTCCTCCTAAGCTTGGGCCTGATGATCTATATTGGTTGAATGGAGCAACATATGCCGTCAAACCTAACGAACTTGAATCTTCGGAAAAGTCGGCGATTTATGAAAATGAAAGAGCAAAGGAGTTTTTGGACAGAGTTCATAAAGAACAAATCGCAACCAATAGCGACATAGTTTATTTCAACACACGACGGTCCATTGAGTATCCTCTGGAGAAGAGCGTGACGCAGAAAGTCCGGGTGAGTGAGTGTCAAGGGATGTGATATCCAGGCAGAAATTTTTAAGGAATGGAATCAATGTGATGGAAATGAGTTATTAAACTTCAAATTCACTAGTTTGCCGAGAGGAAATTTCAGTTATGTGTCTTATTACAAGTTGTTTGCTGTTGAACAGGAACGCAGTCGTGTTAATTCAAATGTATGACCTAAGTACAGCATGAAACAGTCCTGCACAATAATACTCATGCTAATGATTTAACGATTCTCTGAAATTTCTCAGCAGGATGCGATCTTTCCTCCCAAAGAAATGTCGAGAGAAAGATTGTCTCAAGGTGAGAAGCCAGAACCTTTTCTTTTGGTTTCATTTATTTTATAACACATTCTTGGAATTCAATCCTGGTAGCCACTTCAGGCCTCTGATGTAGGAGCAGTTTTTTCATAATCGCTAGTCTCGTATTTTAGGTAAACGAGATTTTCCAACCTCATTTCCCTTGTAATGACATGATATGCTTTTATATATATAGCAGCATTCACTTCTCAAGCGGCCTCTCCAATATGAGGAATGGAGACTTCCAATATCCTCTGTAAAAGCCTGCTCCTTAAAAGTGTATGAAGGGTAGTGCCTAAAGGTGCAGGAAGGGAAATGGATAAGTTTCCGGTGTGGTGGTTTCATGTAGACTGTTGGAGGGTGTGAAAGCGTTGCAGTCAGGGGATATAATTTGTCATATCAGTGTGGGGGCATACGATACGGGGGGTATTTCAATTGAGTGCGGAAGATAAGAGCGAAGAAGTTTTTAGAAGTTAACGGCTCGATCGTTTGCAATACAATGTCAGGATGATGATGAATAGTTCGTTGGCCAGAGGAAAGTGGGAAAGATAAGGTTGGCGAGACCAGACGCTCCAAGTTTAGCTGTTGCTGTTCTTTATCTTTTTCACAAATTGCACCTGCACTCGGCCATTACTTCCACTCTGTCCTTGCTACCCACGCATCTTTCTCTCCATCTACTAGCACTGTTCCTCGTACTGTAATTTCAGGAATATATTGAGATTAATTTATTTACGACCGTGAGTACGAAGCTTGACGGCTATCATTGGGGGAATTGTTTGAATCTCTGGAACTCATTTTTTTCTGAATGTTATTGAACTTTAGCATGATAGCAACCGCTTTACGGTAATCTTTTTCCTCTCAGTGTGTGGCATATCTAAATTTATTCGTCGAAGCCGTCGTCTCGTCAACGGCCGTATATCGGCGGAGGGACAATGGCCGTGGATGGCGTACGTGATGGGCAGCGCCACTACCGCGAATTCTTTATCGTTCCGTCAACGCGTGTGTGGCGGGGTGCTAATTACGGACAGACACGTCATTTCTGCGTCTCACTGCTGGAAATTACCGTGAGTGGTCTGTTGGCTGTTGGTCAATCGTCCTTTAAGAACTAAAAAGCTAATTGATTTTATCTTATTTGGTGATACTCTCTGATTTGATTTGCATGCTATGTGCGTTGTACATCCATTTGGTGTGATAATTTGTTGAAAATTTCTCTTCATCTAGCTTGGTAAATCCTGAATTAGTCGACAGCTTTTTTTGCTCCATCACAGAGAAGGGGAAAACTTTGCCTACGACTACAGAGTTTACGTACAACTTGGCACGACTGGAGTGTACGACGCGAGCAAGATTGTGTTCCACCCCGACCGTTACTTGATAAAGAAGATGTATAAGCACAAAGGATTTGACGAATCTCAATACCTGTTCGATATCTCCATTTTTGAGCTGGTGCATCAAGTAACCTTCACAAAGAACGTTATCCCTGTTTGCCTGCCAAAACCGGGACAAAATTTCAACAACGAATTAGGCTTCGTCGTTGGATGGGGTATGCAGCAATACAGTAAGTCGACGCCCGATGTGTTTTGAAAGACATGACCTCGCTTGAGGTCATGTCACTCAAGTTGGAATTTAGTTAATAGGGAAATGAATATATATTGTAACGGAATTAACATGTTTAAAGTAAAGAATTGGCATTTTCATATCTACCCTAATATTCATGAATATTTTGTCAATTATGTCCCGCACAATATCTCGCAGCCTTTCTTTTATTAAATTCGGTCACATCATTTTTTTCCAGACAGCACGCGACCCAGCACAGCCCAACGCTACGTTGATGTTCCGATCGTACCCCACACAGTGTGTCAGGACTGGTACGGTGAATCCAACATCACCATCTCCTCCCAGCACCTGTGTGCTGGCTTCCAGGAAGGCGGAAAGGACGCTTGCAAGGTTACTCTGATAGAACGAGAATAATAACTTTTATATGAAGATAATGGTAATTATCTTTAACGTACGTAGAATTGGATTAAAAATTTTAATAAGAGATTTCGCCTGCAGTAAAGCTAACGTCTTCAGAATTAGAAGCAATGTTTCCAAACATAACCACTGGTCTAGAGACAATTTTGAGTATTTTTGTGCATATATATTGAAGAACTAATAGAGGATATGCGTTATTTGAATTTTTTCTCTCAGGGAGACAGCGGAGGTCCCTTGGCTGTGAGAGGCATGGACGGTCGTTGGACGTTGGCCGGCACGGTGTCGTATGGCTTCGGATGCGCGGAGCCTCGCAAACCGGGACTGTACAATAACATCACGCTCTTCCTGCCTTGGATACATAACATCATCAACCGCCCCGCCGACTGATGGACTAGAACCTATATAAATATTAAAGCTAATATACATGTGTTTAGAAAGTCGGAAAAATTATCACTCGTTTATGGCAGTAACGTAAAGGTTATTTTGCAGCAATCGCTTGCCAAATGTCTAAAAATATTTCGTTTCTAAGACTTGTATATTTACGTTAGATCACTTTTAAACCAACCACTATGCTGATGATATGAAAATGGATATATTTGAGACTAGCTTAAATCTTCTATTATTAAATTGTTCTTTTACATGATTTAGATAATCGTAATGGAAGGAATAATCTTTATCTGTGAATATTAATATAAGCGAGTATTAATAATTAATTAGTGTCTAATTTTGTTCAACTAGGACTTGCGAGCGATCAGCTAAGGGTAAAAGCATTCCAATGCTCCTAGCCATGGAATCTAGACGTTTTGGACAGCTGGTTGCAATTCGACAACAGTGACAAGTTTTATGGTTTCCAAATGGTCCTCTAATGTGATATTGGAGGTGAATACTTGAACATTTATATTTAAGAATTAAAGCGTACGTGTACGAACGAAGGCTCAAAATAACCCAAAGGTTTTAATCGTGTACAAATATTTATCAACTATTTTAATAAATATTTCGTGAATGTATATCATACTTTCTCCTTGGGTGAAGTTTAGTTTGAATAGTGACAATAAATCAATGTTCTACTGATAGCGAAATAGTTCTCTCACGATTAGACAGAACGACCTGTAAGTAGGATAAGGTCAAGAGGCCCAATGTTAATCACATCAGTGATAACGATCCATGCGTGCTAAGTCTAGTACCTCACGCAGTGCGCAACCTGAAATTCCTTGGTAATGGTGACACAAACTTGCCGCAAAAACGATTTCGCTAAACATTTTTTCCGTTGAAATTATTAGTGCAACGCTGATCTAACTAAAATCTAAATGCACCGGCTGGATTAAACTTTGTTTTGTTCAGCTGCGCTCATTGATCAAGTTTTTACCTTTTTTGTAGTTGGATTCATCACGATCAGTGTTTTACTGGTGGTTCTGAGTCAGATTCTCCATTTCACCAATCGAAACTCGCCCGTAATATTTTAAAACTGGGCATCAGTATCGAGACCTATATGCACTCGAGGCTATATGCGTCAATATACTTTTACGATGTATGCAAGTCGTGATGTACCAGGAATTTTAGGAAATTGATGATCACTGTGTATATCTCTTTCTGAAAATTAGATAGCCTTACAATTGAAGTGAGTCGTCGTACGGAGAAAAGTTTCCCCGTCCGCACATTAACGACTTAAAACTTGGAACTCCATAATGTATGAATCATTTTCACTCGTGCACTGGCGCTAATATAGTAACTTACCACTCAATTTTGAGTGCGGACTCGAGACCTGAGTTTGATAGTATAGAATATTACGAATGAAAAATTTTCTGTAAAATTTACTTTAAAGATATCAATTTTTTTTGGCGCTGTGCCGCTGAAGGATAAAACGAGATTTCTCAGCAAGTTTACGTTAGCCAATCCGTAATCCATAGATAGAACATAGCCTAGTCTGTAAGTTTGTAACTGTAAGTCTAAAGTCTGTTGAACTCTGTTCAATGGTCAGAAGTTCAGAACCATAGAAAGTTCATAAGATGTTTTTCAATAAAATTCAATATCCTGACTAGTAGTAGGAGCTATCGAGTGCACCTACTAGGCTACTAGGCCTACTGACAGTCTGACACTAAGTCTGACAGTAACTGAATAACTGATGTGGCCCTGCGGCCTGCACTGGCGACTGGTGCCTAGCCTAGTAGCGTAGTAGGCTAGTAGCTACTCATTCTGGAATCTGGATCTGCAACTAAAGTCTAAAGCTTTCTTGATTCTTTTGGAGCTGCAAATTCCTGCTGGCAGGTGGCAGCTATATGAATTATCTTCTGTGAGTGCCGAGCGGTTCTGTCTAATCATGGTGGCAGGGAATTATTGTGAGTACTTATGCGTTTGCATGGTCCACCCACACCCCACGGCCAGTGTAGCTGTAGCTGTCAGCTCGCTCAGAAGTGTGAAAGCTTTTGCCGGTGAAGGTGTGTTATACGATCGGTCCATAAAGAAGTGTTGATCGGTTCAAAACGACATAAGAACAGGTTCTTTTGAATAACCTATGGATTGGCACCATGTGTCTAATTATCAATATTCAATAAAACTTTACATGTGGGCTGCAAAAAAAAAAAGTTCTAAAAAATTTGTCACTTTGGAGGGAGCTGCAGCCTGCAAGATTCCATTCCATACATAGGAAAATTTCAATTTAGTCAAATTTAATTAAATCTCACAGCATATAAAAGAACCTGATCTTGTAAGTTGTGACATTTTGAACCAATAGGCTAAATGCTTCTTTATGACTGACTATTGCACTGCACAACACACTGGTATCTTCTTTATTCTTGAGGGCAGACTTGAGCAGTTGAGGCAGACTTGAGCAAAAGCTGGTTAAGCACTGAACAAAGAAATGTGTTCATTGTGTTGGGCCAGTTCTGTTGACAGCAAGCTCACTAAGCTCAGCTGCGCCAGCAGCAGCGGCACTTAGCCTTTTCAGGTTAACTGAATTGTGCATTTTAAATAAAAAGCTAGGTAGGTAGGGTAAACACACCATATTCTGACACCTTAAGGACGTAGCAAGAAATGAATGGCTATAAATAGAGCACCATATGCACAACTCAAGTTCAGATTGTTTTATGTTACTCTCAAAACACCACAGTCCACACTATGCGCCAGCAATGATCAAACATTACAAACTGAAACTGTTGCCATATTTATTTAAAAGCCTTAAGAATTCAAATCTACAAAATTGCTGAATTCCGACAGTGACACTGTGTGTGACTAAATTTGGCATATTGTAAGACTAATTCCAACAGCGCTTTAAAAATCGTAATTCGTAATTCCAACATCCTGTGTGAGTTTTGTCAGAATACGACACAGCTTGGAATACGACAAAAACTATCTCTTAAATTAATCATCTATTAATTTATTTACAACTTAGAATCAGCAAATACACGTATACCTAAAGGATTCCTAATATATTCACAGTCTCACAGACTTATTTAAAAGTCTCAAACCATAATATTCTTTCTACACAAACAATTTATCACTATTTAGTAAAGCAAGGTCAACTATCAACTTTAACATGTGTTTCGATGTTCTCTCGGGCTGACGTGGAGTTTTGCTCTGCGTATCTTGAAATTTTCCTGCCAGACCTAGTGTTTTGCGGAAATAATGCGCGCAATAGTATGATGTCACTATTTCAACCATCTATGCATGCGTGGAACTAAGACCAAACCTTAATATAAAGGAAAAAGTTGAGAGGTGTCAGAATTACCCACAGTATCGGAATACGGTGGGTTTACCCTATATGCACAAATGACACACAAACCTCAACAAACTAAGCAAAATGGTGGACCGGCAGTTTTTTTAGCGTGCATGCAAGCACGGAAGACATTTAGTTTTTAAAGTCTATTTGCGCACATAAAGTCGATTCTAACTAGGCTAGCAGATAATTTGACTGGCATAAAGAGAAATTTGCATTGTCTATTTAATGACCAGGCCAGTATTTGCAAAGGGTGCCACTCTGTGCTAAAAATAAACTGTGATATCATATTGTTAGGTTTTTAAAATGTAATATCAAATTGAGCTAACAGTTTTTTGAACATTCTCTTCAAATTTCAGAAATCTGCCTTTAGTCACACAGTGATGGTAAAAGTAAAAAAATGACAATTTCTGAGTCCAATGCACGGGACAGAGTCAACTGTGTGAGGTCATGAGACGAGACATAAGATGAGACAAGACACAAGACTAGACATGAGATGAGACAAGAGACAAGACTAGACATGAGACAAGACATAAGATGAGACATGGGACAAGACATGAAATGAGACGTGACTTGATCAGTATTCAATATTATTATTAATATCAAATATTCACTAATATTTATTGTAATTAGTTAAGATTTAATATCAATATTATTATTAATTAATAATATTATTAATAGTTGATTTTATTTCTTTATTCTAGTTAATTTCATATTTTTAAGCTCAATTATGGTGCCAAAACCATGAAAATGAAATTTATTCAATCCAATTCTATCTTTAAGTTAAGTTAAAGCATTCATATCTATCAGTTGCACCCAGTTCCCCCAACCACCTGCAGTCAAAGTCTTGACTAAAATGTTTTATCCTAGTTAGAATAGATAGCCTACAACAAGAGCTTTCTAATGGTGCATGAATATCTGAAATTGGCTCATAGGAAACCTAGAAATGATAGTTAAAAAAAAAGTGACAGTAGTTGCTCCATTTTCAGGGTGAAATTGTAAATGGGGAAAAAATTAATGGCATTTTCAATTTTCAACCTACTCCACTCATACTTATATGATATTTTTCTAAATTTTTTTCTCTTTTCAGTGGTGTAATTTTCATTACACCAAAAGAAAAATTTTTTTGTGCAAATACCTACAAAAGACCCGGTTTCAAGCCCTTAAGAGCTGAAAAGGCCCTAAATTCCAGCCTAAAACATATTAAAAACTTGTATTTCTGCATGGATTTTAATGCTGTTAACATTGAAAAACTTCATAGTATCTCTCATGCAAGTAATACTCACTAAATAAATTTTAATTTTGATATGAATGTCACTCCAAAACTAAGCAATCCAACTTGGATTGCTCAGATCACTCAGTTTTCAAGGGTGCACAGAGTGGGTGAATGTTTGAAGATCTTTGGCAACTCATCAGTAGCATAATCTATGTCTTCAGAAAATTTTGCAACACATTCAAATATATCTTCATGTGTACGGTACCTATTTTTGTCAAGGAGTATTGAAGCACACAAGAAAAATATGTACCTTTTGAACTGCACTCAAAGCTTTTGTGTCATTTTTGGAGATGCAAGATTCCTGCTAGATGAATTATATACCTCTAAATATTAACAAAAGTGCCTGATGGGTCTGTAAGACTCCAAGTTTTTGAAAATTTATACCTTTGTTGCCATCACATTTCATTCATATATAGGAAAATTTCAATCCTGTATTAAAAGTTTAGGTAATTTTGATAAAATATCCTCAGTGATACTACTGGGCAACACTTTTGGCCTAAAAAGAGGATCTTGACAACACAATTGCCAAATTCCATATAGTGAGAATTCGTAATTGCCAAATTCCTAATGAAAAATTTCTGCCAGTAGTACATTGTTGATGCATCCATAACATAACAGCTGATACATTGCTGTGTGGCAGTGAGATGATTGTTGACAGCATATTAGTCAAAAGTGAACTGTCCTAGAATCTGGTTGAATGGTGTTGCTGCTGCTGCTGCTCATGTCAAAATGCCATGACTTACTATATTGTTTCAGTGTTGGGAAAAAAAAGCCTTCTTAATTTTTACTTCCAAACTATTCTAGATTCTATAATTCTAATTTTCTCTAATTTGTTCAGCTCTTGAAATTTTAATATCAAGTTAATAATGGTCAACAAAGAACTTAGCCCTCAGCAGCTTGCTAAGCTGAAGCAACACACATACTCCTGTACAAACTGCAGCCTCTTTGATCCATTCATGCAAGTATGTTTATTTTTAAGGTGTTTTGTGTAAGTCTGAGCTTTTAAGTTTAAATTATTTATCTTTTAATATAACAGTCATGCATATTATTACCTATGTAGAAGCTTCTTAATTTCTATTAAAATTTTCATAAAAACCTTTATTGTTTACCTCTACTTTCACTGGGTATTGCAATGAAATATCCCTATGTGTAATTGTCTGATGTTTGATATGAAAAAGAAACTTGAAGGTAATTTAATTGCCATGCAAGTTTTATTTCATTGTTTTGTTTGGAAGAGTTGTTCAAAATGAAAATTTTAAAGAATTTTACCCTCAGTTGCCTTAATGAATGCTTATAGTTTTTCTAAAAATTTTCTATTTTTTATTTTATTCTTTATTTATTTATATTTTTTTACTAGGTATCTTTACTATTTTCAATGATAAAGATTTTTAGTGAATATTAAAATATAAACAAGGTACCGTAAAATGGGGTAACTTTGACCACTTTTTTTTCAAAATGATGCCATTTTTTTACTAGATAAGTTAAACTTAAATTGAAACCTGCAAAATACAGATCTATACTCTAGCTTTGCTTACCATAAATTGCTGGCTCCTGCCTCTCATAGTTTTCATGTAATTTCAAAAAAAGTGATGGTCTTTGTTACCCCAGCTCTTGGGGTTTCTTTGACTGGGTGGTAAAATCAATTTTATTTTTTGGTAAAATAACTCTAAATAACTCCAGGTTTTGGTGCATTGTAGTAGAACTCTTCTAGTTACATATGCAAATGACAAATTTGTGGAAAGTGTCATAGTTTGCAAATTGGGGGCGCTGCCCCCCAATTGGCAAAATGTGACTACCTAATGGCAGCCGTGACGGGGTAACATTGACCGGCTTGGAAATTAAGTTAAAATTACCATATATAAGACTCTATAGAGTCTGAAACATAAAGAAAAGAACATTGATAGGTGTATCAAACATAAAATATGTTATATAGGTACCTATGGTAATTTTAACTTAATTTCCAAGCCGGTCAATGTTACCCCATCACGGCTGCCATTAGGTGGTCAAAGTTCCCCCATTGGGGGGCAGTGTCCCCCATTTGCAAACTATGACACTTTCCTAAAATTTGTCTTTTGCATATGTAACTAGAAGAGTTCTACTACAATGCATCAATACCTGGAGTTATTTTACCAAAAAATAAAAAAATTTGAGGGGGTACTCTAACAGGCTTTAAATAATAGCTCTTTTTTGTGGGTCACATTATAGTCAAATGGGGTAAGACAGGATCGCAGCCTTCATGGGGTAAGAAAGGACTGGCCCATGGCATGCATTCTAATTGCACTGAATTTAATTTGACAAAAGAATAAGTTAGAGCAATCATTGCCTGTCATTTCAGTGCTTGTTTCAACCCTCTTCTGCAAATAATGAATTTCTGGCTAATTTTCAAAGAAAACCTATGTAAAGAAGGGTCACAAAATAGTTAACCCCTGCCTGACAACTATTCTAAAATGGGGTAAAAAAGGACCGGACATGGGGTAAGACGGGACCACTAAATGATCATGTTTTACCCCACAAGTGGTCCTATCTACCCCATAAATGGTCCTGTATTACCCCACAAATGGTCCTTTTTTACCCCATAGTTTATCAAAAATAGCTTTTAAATGAATATATTATTGTGCATAAGTACCTATACATGGAGTATTTTGGTCAAAATTTTCATCTTTTGCGTAAAATAACCATTCTAACTTGTTAGTTTTTTAATTAGATAAATTTAGCATACTATTGTGAATTGCATCATGGGGATGGAGAAAATAGGGATGTCTCTTCCCATTAGTGAGCTGCAGAACAATGTGCAAGAGTGGCTGGGGGAAAAAATCATTGTGTGAAACATAAAAAATAATTATTATCACAATTTTGTGAGAGGGCATGGGCTATGTTTGAAGAAGTGCACCACAAATGCAGTTAGCAAGAAAACACGACATCCGACTCTTAAGTTATTATCCATTGGTTTTATTACCAATTTGATAAATTTTCAGACAATGACACTAGTGGAATATACATGTAGCATTTGGCAGTGCTCTACAATGAATCAAAGCCAACCTACCATTTCTATGCTTAACAAAGTTTGCTCGTGGCAAAAACTCCAATGTGACTGATATTAGAGTTGACTTCCTGCAACACAAAACAGTAACAAGTGGAGTTTTAATCAAATAATGTGTTTCTAGATGGATAATATTGAATATCAGATTTATATTTTTACTAAAAACCTTGTAACATAAGAATTACCTGTTGGTCCTTTCTTACCCCAGCCTGGTCCCATATTACCCCAATGGGGTAAGATGGGACCAGCTCACTTTTTTTAATCTGTACAGAAAACTGTGTTGTATGCAAAAAGTCTGAGTTGTAGCTTTGAAGCCCATTGCATAACCACACCTTGTGATAGGTTTAGGGTTTTTTAGTTATTCATGGTATAGATGCTACAGGCTTGTTAGTGATTTCGGTCCTGTCTTACCCCATCTGACTATATTAGTTTTCTAACCTATTAGATATGCAAACTTTTTAAATCTTTCTATTGTGTTACGTAGCCTCAGTAATAGGCCTTTGATGGCCATTGACAAAATTTTTCTATGTCAAATCGTTTTTGAGTTTTGGGGGTTTTTGTTAAAAAAAAGAAAAGTGGGCAAAGTTACCCCGCCGGTCAAAGTAACCCCATTTTATGGCATTAAAGCATTCATTCTCACACAGCCTGTGTTAAAGCATTGAGGTCATCTATTTATTTGCCTCATTATTGATATATTATTCTAAATTTATTATAGTTATATATGTAAGATAGATTTCTGCAGCATATAATGATGGTAAAAATGATGCTCCAGGTATGGTGGTGCTGGCTGGTACAACAGTTTCCCCTCAACATAGCACCCAACCTCATCACGGTCATCGGTCTGCTGGTGAATGTCCTCACCTCTTTACTCATGGTTTACTTCAGCCCATATGCTGACCAGGAGGTTTGTGCTTCAAATGAGTGACTGCAAATGATAATTCCTACTAGCTTTAAGCCTTGGTTAACAATTTAATATTATTACTTGGGTGCCAAAAGATGGTTTTATTGGAGTATTTCTACAATTGTAGCTCTGATGCAACCCTTCTCCCTTTTCTGCAAAGCACTTCACCAAAAAAATTTATATTAAACATAAATTATTACCAGCCTGTTTCATAAGCCTAAGCAAATTAAATTGCATTGTGAGGAAATTTCAGTTGATTATCAAAATTTCCCTCTGAGCGGCAGTTGGAACAATGTACTAGCCTCATTTTATATTTGGAACTCCTCTTCTATTAGTGTCTGGATACTACAGGTGTCATTTTATATTAATGACAATTTAATATATTAATTTAATATATTAAATTAATATATTAATTAATTTATATATTAATATTATATTAATATTAACATTTTAGAGGCAGTATAGTTGATGTGTTTGCAGGTAGGTATATCTTGGTGAACTAACCTATTTTTAATGTTTGTATTTCTTCTACCAGTTTCTGGACATGACATAGGTATGATGATTTTGATATATATATAACTATATATATATATATAACTATATATATATAACTATATATGAACAAAATTAACCTTTGAGACAATTATAGTTGTTGTGTTTGGCAGGTAGGTATATATCTTTGTGAGCTAGCCTATTTTTTCCAGTTTAGATTTCTTCTACCAGTTTCTGGTTACTACATATAACAATTTTGATTTATTAATGTACAAAATTAACCCCCAGCAACAACCATAGCTGTTGATGTTTGGCAGGTATAAATCTTGATGAGCTAGCCTATTTTTTCAGTTTAGAGTTCTTCTGCCAGTTTCTGGACTCTACATATAAAAATTTTGATTTATTAAAGAACAAAATTAACCTTCTAGAGACAATTATAGTTGTTGTGTTTGGCAAATATATAGGTAGGTATCTTTGTGAGCTAGCCTATTTTTCAGTTTGTACTTCTTCTACCAGTTTCTGGACACTACATATGACGATTTCGATATATATACGAACAAAATTAACTTTTTAGAGAGAATTTTAGTTGTTGTGTTTGGCAGGTACCACGATGGGCTTGTCTTCTATGCTGCCTGGGTCTCTTCATTTACCAGTCGCTGGACGCTATAGATGGCAAGCAAGCCAGACGCACCAACAGCCAGTCTCCACTTGGCGAACTGTTTGACCACGGATGTGATAGCCTCAGTACACGTCAGTGCCTTGCATTTTAACTATTAGGAATTAGATTTAATTCATTTTTAATATGAAACTGATGTTACTGGCTGGAGTAACACACATGTTACTCTTGAATTATATGTGTAGGTAGTCAATTCAGTTCCTATGTCAACATTCCTCAACCTTATTTTTCAGATAAGTTGACAGGCTGGCCTATTTTGTTTTCATTAAGTTGTGTCTACTTTATTTTATCAGATTTCAAATATCCAAAATTTTATTTCACACTAAATTGCCAATAATTAAATGTAGATCACATTCATTTCATATTTCTACAAGAAAATTATTTTTATTGAAACTAATATATTTTTCACTGTGCAGTGTTTGTGTCAGTGTCGGTATGTTGTGCTGTACAACTAGGCAAGCGACCATACTGGCTGTTCTGCCAGTGTATGATGGCCGTGACGCTCTTCTACTGTGCTCACTGGCAGACTTACGTGTCAGGTACTTTATCTTTATTGAGGCACTTAACTATTAATTCTGTGAATCTTTTGTAGAAATGAGGTACCGTATACTTCTCAGCAAGCTTTAAGGTATACCTGTTTATTGAGTATCAAAATCAAGGGTTTTTGTTTTTTGTCTTTAAAACTTATCAAGTTTTAGTCGAAGATGTACAGGATGAATTCAACCTCTATTCTGGCTTGGAACCTATTAAAGCGGTTCAATAATCAGTGGAACATTATCTAATACCAACGAATGTGATGCCCTCAATTCCTAGTCTAGTTAGACACCTATATAATAGGTAAATACTCTATTAATCGTTCACTAATAACAACGTATGTGATGCCCTCAATCCCTAGTCTATGTAGCTGTAGGTACCTATACAAATGGTTATATACTCTTTAAATCGTTTATGGATCGTTCACTAATACCAACGAATGTGATGCCCTCAATTCCTAGTCTGGCTAGGCACCTATAAAATTGGTTCAATACTCATTAAATCGTCTATAAAATGTCTGGTTGAGCAGGCAAGTTGCGGTTTGGTCGCGTGGATGTCACCGAAGCCCAGTTCGGCGTCATGCTCATACTGCTCATCTCCACCTTATGTGGCTCCTCCTTCTGGAGCTATCAGGTGAGTGCTTGCTGGCTCCATACTCCAGTGCTCCATACTCCAGTGCTTGCTGGCTCCATACTCCAGTGCCCCATACTCCAGTGCTTGCTGGCTCCATACTCCAGTGCTCCATACTCCATACTCCTCTCATGATTGAAGGCAGTAAAATGATGAAAAACTTCCCTAAATTTCAGTGCCTTTAAAAAAACAGTAAAATGAACTGCCTTAAATTTCAGTGCATTTAAAAGGCAGTAAGATGATAATAAACTGCCTTGAATTTCAGTGCCTTTAAAAGGCAGTAAGATGATGATAAATTGCCTTTAATTTCGAATGAAGTAAGAAGATTGGTATTTTCTAAAAATTGTCTCTCATAAAATAAATTCAAAATTGAATTGACGATTACTGAGAATCACGGTCTTGTAATTTGGCCTCTACTGGTAGTTAGAATTACCAATTAATGTTTCTTCTATGATAACCTCATGATGATTATGGTATTCAGCAAGTGTTTGAAGGTACCTCTTTGCTGGCTCCCCTTGGTAATTTTTTTAATCATTGATGTTCTTTATAATACTACGTGTGAACGAAGGTGATGCATTCATTCATTTTCTTGATATTCCAGGTATGCGCAAAATCCATAATGCATACTCAACGAAGTAGTAAAAACGTACTTGAGTATATTATATTTTAACAAATATTTACAATTCGTTTTGTTTCTTGCGTCACTTTTTGAACCCGTTCAATAATCAATTATGATAGGTTAATTATTCTACTCAGCAATGCAGCCTGCAGCTCTTATCATATTTACGTGCGTTATGTATTAATATTGTCGAATGTGTTCATGTTGTCATATTCATTTCAGACGTAGTATGTTTTTTGTTTGCTACTACTACTACTTCAAAAATTTGACATTAAATTACCACCTTCATTTTCGATCTTGATACCATAACTTTTAAAAATTTTCAGGAACATATCATTTTCATTGGTACCCTTGAAAGCATTGCAGTTCCAGGTACAAGTTACTGAACTATAAGCACGTTTTTGTGTGCCAGTTTAACCTTGTCTATGCTCGAACGCAAGGTTCCTGCCCTGGGCCTGACGCTGCAGTGTCTGCCTACAATCTTTGGCTTTATTGCTGGTTCCATAGCCCTGTTTAATAACTTCCAAGTGATCTTCATAGAGAGAGGAGCAGGCAGGAATGGATCCACCGTCGCTGTAAGTCATTCATATCCTATATTCATGTATATTATGAATGTATAATACATACATTCAGATTTTCTGCATTGCCTGCTCCCACTAAACGCCCGCCTAACTCGCTGTACTCTCGCAGTCCGTGTCGCACCGTCATTATTTTCTCCGTGTTTAACGAGTGATAAATCAAAATTATCAATCTGCATGCTGATAAATTTGTTGTTATTGTCAGTGTTGTTCTACTCCTCTGTTTTTTTAGCATGGTGCTCGGTTTCTGACTGCTATATCTACGAATTTGGTTTGCATAGTGATTTGAATCCTGGATTTTTCGGTTTCGCATTTTATTGCTCCGGTACTTCTAATGCAAAGGTTTCTGGTCTGTTTAACTATACTATTGTTGCTTAAGTTGTGTATTGAGAATTTTCTCGTCTGAATATTCATTAAAATTGGTCTGATTTATTTTGATATACTGTCGAATGTGCCGTTTGAGCTTGGAATGACGATTGATTTTTTTATAATTTTTTATATTTTCTCCTGCCCTATTTTCTTTTGCACACTCTTCATTCAAACGTGTGTTGAATCTCAGCGCGTACAGAATTCATCATGCTGATCAATAAAATGAGAAAAATAATAAAACCAAGCTCATCAATATAACAGAAGTAAATCTAGTAAAGCAAACTGTGCTTAGTGACAGGTTCTTTGCTTCGAGCTGCGTTGAAAACGTCTTCAGAATGTCTAGCGATTCTCCCATACATAATCTGTTCGTACTTCTTCTATCGACTTTATTTTAATATTGCACACTGAGGTTGTCAATTTGCAATATTTTATTGAATTTGTCACATTAAGTTTCCTTCACCCTGTCAAATCCTACGCATCGTGATTCAATTCTTTAATTTTGTATAAAACATTTTCTGACAAGTACATCCCATGGAAAATATTCGTTGTGATGCGGCGTTTTTATGTAGTTGTGTATTAAGTTATTGAAGAGCAGAACAGTAAACTTATCGCCATCTCGTGGATCAGATTTGAGGGAACTATCCCTCCAGAACTCAGTTCCTTGAAAATTTAGATGAGACATATCAGCGACAGACCAGTCTTAGTAGGTATCACTTTCGATTTTAATGTTGCCTCGACAAATATTTATTATTGTCATTATTGTGTCATTTTTTTTTTTTTTGCTACTGGTTATGGAAACGTAGTAAGCAAAGGATGTCGTAACCAGATGATATTAGGCTATTGCGTTGTGGTTTGAAATTTGTGCCGCTAAAACTGCGTTCCCTGTCTACTGAAGATTGAATTTAATTCCAAATAACATTAATTGTGTAAATGCTATGAAAATGTGAAAACCAGCGCCCTGTGCCATATCCTCTACATGTGATGCTTGTGTCATTGCTGGTCATCACGAGCTGAAGGTGTACAGGTTTATCATCTGTAGGTGTAGAAATAGCTTTTATTTATGCATTGAATTGGATTCTAATAGAGATAGACCTTAATACTGATGTTTATAATCCAATCAATAGTTGAGTATTGTTTCTTCAGTGCTGTTGCTGTTAGAAATCATTTGCGCGCACTATGATGGTGTTTATCAGTTTTTTTTTAAATATTCTGGTCATTGTTGATTGTGTGTTGGGTCGCTGGATTTGTTGAGAGTTCAGCGCCTGCGATGCGTGTAGACGCAGTCTGGGTCCAGGAGGCCCAGTTTCAAATCTCGTCATAGGATGATTTACAGACGAAACACCAGCGTGACCGTGGACAGAGCCGTTCAGAACTTAACTTTTTATATGAGACGTCGTGTGCTGGGGGTGATGAGTGTTCACCACAGTTGCTGGAGGTGCTGGGAGTGCAGTTTTCTGTAGTGGACGTATACTTGGCCGCGGGTTGCCTGCATGTCGCCCAGCTCCTCTACTGCCACGTTCCCGTCGTGCTCTGTGAAGGAGTCGGCAAGAACGGATCGTCTGTCGCTGTACGTTCACGCTCATCTTCTTCAAGTTACTCCACGTGATTACAATGTTATCGGGGCACGTTATCACTTCATGCTATCTGAGAATCGTTTCATGCAATCTTTGAATCGTTTCATGCAATCTTTGAATCGTTTCATGTGAGCTTGAATCGTTTCATGCAATCTTTGAATCGTTTCATGCAATATGAACCGTTTCATACAATATTTGAATTGTTTCACAGCTTTAATGTTGAAGAGAATGTATGACCGCTTTTTTCATTTTGGGAAATTTATTGATGTTTCAAATTTTATAGAAATTCAATGCGAATTTAAATCTAATGCATAACTTGACTGCCTGTAAAATCAACCAAAGCGTTTCATGTATTTAGACATGAACTTCAGTCGAAACAATTTTAGAATTCGTTGCATTTCTGGTTTATTGTCAAGTACTGCAAATTCTTTTTTATATGTATGTGGAGTTTGCTCAACATCCTGTCCTTGAATTTTATTTGACGACTGTTGATAATAATGCGATTTGTTGGGGCTGATTTTGTTCGATACTTCTTGTGTTTTGTAGGATTACGAAGCATGCGATGGGAATAGGCGCTGTAATTCTATGTATATTCTCAAAAGCCATTGCTACTATATTTTCCTTAACTGTACAAGGCCTATGCATCGAATTCGTTCTTTTCGCTGTTTCATGTTCATGAACTTCTTCACCTCTTCGTAATACGTCAACTTTTATACATACTTTGTGTTGATTTATAGGTATGTTATAATAATGTACTCCTTTGATTTTCATTTCATTGTCTTCTCGTTCTGAAGTATTCATTTCAAAAGTGAAACAATTCGTCCACGGAAATGTTTCAATTTACGTGGATGAATGCTTGCTAGTACCACCAAGTCGATTTATAGTCATTTGTCTACGGATACTTCACCAGTCGTCAATAATATTCCTACATAAAGGCATGGTAAATGATATACCAGCCTAATGGCCTGGTGAAGAAGGAAATTTTCAAAGAACTGAGACCTTGCGCTTGCGCGGTGATACCTACCTAATTTTGACTTCTGGTGCGAAGTAGCTTAATAGCTCAAGCGTGAGTAAACCATTATATTACTTGTAAACCATTCTATTACTTACTATGAAACTACTCTGGTACTCTTATTCTATTTGTCGTCAGTAGACAAAAGGTTCAACCTTTGCTCCACGGATGCATTAACCGTCGTCAGTTTTATTCGCACCTCAACGAAAAGTTTCGCCAGCTGCACGGCGTTTTAAACAAGCGTTTTGTCCAGCACATACTGGGCGTGTCGCTGCTGGACTTGCTGAGCTGCGCCAGCTTGCTGTACCAAACTTCCCATCTGCTGTACCAGCTGAGCTTTGCTGTGCTGCCTGGACAGGGAGCTGGACACAGAGGCGCTTCTCTTGCTGTCAGTTTTGCTTCATGTTAGCAAGGGAGAAATTTGGTATTTTGTGACGTAAAATCGCTGTGAAGCCTTCAATACATGCACTAGAATATTGCCTTCAAAGCGTAACTTGCAAGGAAACCTTTTCTCAATATGGACGCTTCAGTATTCTTTCATTTACGCCTCAATATTACCTCTGAAGCGCAAAATTGCTGTGAAGCCTACAATTTAGGCCTGAATATTGCTTCTGAACCGTGAATTTGACGTTTAGCGCCTAGTAAGCGCGTGGATATCACGCCTCTAGCGTAAATTTGTATTTGCGCGTATATTATGTCCTTTTGTAGTGAATAGTCGGCGTGTAGCTTTGACATTCCGCTTTCATTTACTCATGTACATCAGTAAATACGCTCGTGTAAATTACGTCTATCGAGCAGTTACCGTTTTACAGCTAGTCGAAAGTTACTTTTCCGATTTATCTACAACCTAGCTTTGATGATTAATCTCCTATCGTGTCGGCACCTAACATCATCATTAGCTCTTCCTGGTCCTGGCATTGCTTCTGTGATTGAATACTTTAACGCAATTTAGATTATTATTACCCCTCAGGGGGGACTTTTAACGCGTGTCTGTGCGCGTCAGAAGTCCTATGGGATTTCGCGTTCCTAGGGGGATTGTTCCTGAGCGCCCCACCGTTGAGCTCGCGGTGTCTGACTGTAGGTCTCAGTTGTGGGGTTAAGTTAAGTAGATAGGGTTCCTTACATTAAGTTATTATGCAGGTAGGATCCCCTTACATTTCCCTTCTCTGTCTCTCTCGTGCGGGCGGCCGACGTCCCGTGTAAGCGACCTCTTGTTCGAGTGTTGACCGTTTAACTTATATACTGGGACCTGTTCTTGCCTAATACCATTTGTTGTAATTATCAAGGACCGTTTAACTTATATACTGGGACCTGTTCTTATCTAATACCATTTGTTGTAATTATCATGGACCGTTTAACTTATATACTGGGACCTGTTCTTGTATAATTCCATTTGTTGACATTCTCAATAACTCTTAACTTTTAGCTTTCAAAGTATTTCTATCTAATTTCATTTGTACTGTAATAATCTGCAATTATTCTTCCACAAGATTTATTGTATTTCTGTACGTTGTGGGCTCCTGATTTGGTTTGTAGTGATTCCTTTATATGACTGTAACTGTAGTGCGTCTCATTCGACCATCTGCATCTACAACTACAGTAGCTTTCAAATACGCAGTTATTTCCTTATTTTTATTCCAAAACTTTTTTATTTCACGGTTATTGTTGTCAGTTATTTTATTTCACTGTTATTTGTTGTTTGGTGATTTGACTGCTTGGCATGTCCATCTTACCCTTAGCTTTCTAATCCACTAATATCAGTTTACTCTTTAACAATTAATCTCCTCACATTAAGTTTTATGTGATACCAAGCTTGTGGAGTTGGCTTCTTGCATGTTGCCATGTTTGTAATATTTTACTTGCTTTTTTATTACTTTTAAATTATCCAGTTTTTTTTCTTTTATAACCTTCCATTCTGTACCACTATATTTTGTCTCCATTTCCATTCTTTACCCATGTCGTTACCTTCTACTTCTCTATGCGCATAGTCTTGGGCCTAATATGCATTCCTTATTAAAAATTAGCTTTCCATGCTATATTATTTTATATTATATGCAACATTACCGTATATAAAAGCTCAAACTTACGTCATGACGTTGATGTAAAACTTGCAATATTTTTTACATTCGTGGGGCGTAGCTTGTCAATATGTTAGGTCTATTTATTTAATGTTTCTGTGGACTATTGAGTATGTAATAATGTTTATTAATGTATTACATATAAAATGTATTATATAATGTTTTTTAATGTATCACATAATGTTTATTGATGTATAATTGAGTGTCTATAACGTAGGGCACGAGCGTGTTGTCGCCGATGGTGCCGCTGTTATACTTCATCGTACCAGCCCTCATGGTCGCATGGAAGAGCAGCGACGCTATATTCTTATCTAACCCGCTGCTCTACATGTTCACTTTCGGCCTGGTCGCCGCCAGGGTCTCCAACAGACTTGTCGTGAGTCATGCCATCTGTGATCTTATTAAGAAAACTATTTATTTAAGTGGGTCTATAGTGAAACTATCTTTGAAAAGCTTGCCTTTGTACATGTTCACTTTCGGGCTGGTCGCCGCCAGGGTCTCCAACAGACTTGTCGTGAGTTATACCATCTGTGATATTATTTAGAAAACTATTAAAGTGGGTTTATAGTGAAATTATATACGAAAAGCTAGCTTTTGTACATGTTCACTTCCTGGCTGGTAGCCGCCAGCGTTCCTATCAGACTTTTCGTGAGTCATGCCATCTTTGATGTTATTAAGAAAACTATTTAAGTGGGTTTATAGTGAAACTAAACCGTAAAATGGGGTAACTTAGACCACTTTTTTTTAATGATGCCATTTTTTTACTAGATAAATTAAACTTGAATTGAAACATGCAAAATACAGGTCTATACTCTAGGTTCCCTCACCATAAATTGCTGGCTCTTGCCTCTCATAGTTTTTATGTAATTTCGAAAAAAAGTGATGGTCTTTGTTACCCCAGCTCTTGAGGTATCTTAGACTGGGTGGTAAAATCAATTATATTTTTTGGTAAAATAACTCCAAATAACTCCAGGTTTTGGTGCATTGTAGTAGAACTCTTCTAGTTACATATGCAAATGACAAACTTGAGGAAAGTGTCATAGTTTGCAAATGGGGGGCACCGCCCCATAATGGGGGAAATATGACTACCTAATGGCAGCCCTGATGGGGTAATATTGACTGGCTTGGAAATTAAGTTAAAATTACCATATATAAGACTCTGTAGAGTCTGAAACATAAAGAAAAAACATTAATAGATTGTCGAACATAAAATATGTTATATATGGTAATTTTATATTAACTTCCAAGCCGTCTATGTTACCCCGTCAGGGCTGACATTAGGTGGTCTAAGTTCCCCCATTTGGGGGCGGCGCCCCCATTTGCAAACTATGACACTTTCCTAAAATTTGTCATTTGCATTTGGAGGGGGTACTCTGGCAGGCTTTAAATAATAGCTTTTTTTCGTGGGTCACATTTTTAATTTTTTAACCTATTAGATATGCAAACTTTTTAAATCTTTCTATTGTGTTATGCAGCCTCAGTATTAGGCCTTTAATGCCCATTGACAAAATTTTCTATGTCAAATAGTTTTTGAGTTTTGGGGGTTTTTGTTCAAAAAACGAAAAGTGGTCAAAGTTACCCCGGGAGTCTAAGTTACCCCATTTTACGGTATTTGAAAAGTTAGCTTTTGTACATGTTCACTTCCTGGCTGGTAGCCGCCAGCGTACCTATCAGACTTTTCGTGAGTTATGCTCTATGTGATTATATTAAAACAATGATTGAACTGAATCGTGATAATGTACATATTGTGACTTTTCTACAACCAGCACAGCTAAGGGCCGGATTTTAACCACACACAAAAAATAAATTTCCATTCTTTCCATTTTCATAAACAAGTGAGATGATGCCGTCTATTATCATCATGGATGCTAACATTAATAAGATGATACTGCCTACCATCATCATGTATACTAACATTTACCATGTATGTGTCAGGTGGCACACATGACTAAGCACGAGATGGCCTACACGGACTCGTCAATGCTCGGCCCCGCAGCGCTGCTGCTCAACCAGTTCTTCAACTCCCCCGTGCCTGAACACTGGCTCCTCTGGCTTGTATTTGTGAGCATTACATAGATTGATTGGAATTTTCACTGTTCCCTTTACCACGTTTTACTGATCTCCTACAGAGTCCTCTTCACCCTAGAAGCGGGCTACGGCCCTAAGATCTGTGACAAGTGTTCAATCAGTTTTGCTAAAGTGACAGTTGCTAAAGTGATAATGCTCAGTTTTTCTGCTAGCGTTTAGGAGTGTGACAAACAAGTGTTGTAGGTTTGTGCTGGTGCCAGGCAAGGGTGGAAATACTTGGCTCTTGGCAGCTGGAACTCCCACACTCGTCACCCTTACGTCACTGCTGTGCTGACGAAGCGTCACTGCTGTGACTGAACTCCACTGATTCCTTTGGTTGGCTCAACTCTTCCTAGCATAACTGGACAGGTTTATGCTCCAGTGAAGAGATAGTGAATGCGTCAACTGTTCCTCACATAACTTTGATAGATTTATGTGCCAGTGAAGAGGCGGCTTTTGCCAGTGAAGAGGCGGCCAGTAAAGAGGCGGCTTTTCAAGTGTTCCGTTGGAGTCGAGCATCAAGTATTCTCCGACTTCAGCGGTGTTCTTCAATATATTTTTGTTATATTAAGCCTGTCTGAAGGGTAATTCTGAACCCGAGAAGTGTCAGTGAACAGCAGCTAGTGGAGGAGGGGAAGATGGCGGATATTGTAGCTGGAGGTAAGGGAGGGAGTGGTGCAGGGAGGGGTCCTGGAGCGGTCAAATGCGGAATTTGCTCAAGGAGAGTTCTGGTGAAGGATAAGGCGCTGCAATGTGAAATCTGCCTTGTATGGTACCACTGTAGCTGTGAGCAAATAGATGACCAAGCCTACAATTTAATTTGTGATGATACTGGAAAAACTGACCCACTTTTCCACTATTTCTGCTCCAAGCAATGTAATAAGCCGGCGTCTAATTTCTCCGTACACAGATTGTTACGTTCCCCATACATAGATTACTGCGTTTCTCCATACATAGATTACTACGTTTCTCTATACATACAATATATTACAACGTTTCTCCGTACATACAATATATTACTACGTTTCTCCATACATAGATTATTACGTTTCTACATACTTAGATTATTACGTTTTTCCATACACGGATTACTATGTTTTTCATCGTTTTATCTTCAACTTCATCGTTCCTGAGCGCTGGCTCCTCTGGATTGTATTTGTGAGGATTACATAGATTACATATCAGTTGATCTGTAAGAGGTTGCTTTTCTGTACATATCTTATATGAATGGTAATTAAGTAATACCTGAGGGTTGGTACGGTTGTAGCAAGATCCGAGGATATTGAGGAACAGCATAAACAATTATATAGTATTATGTACGACTAAAGTTCAGCTTACAGTATAGAATGATCTAAGTTTATAAATTGGAGCTTCAACACTGATGTCTTCGGCGTCCAGTTGAAATACGGATATGTCTAGACTCTAGAGTACCTATATCCGCTAGGCCGTTTTCTACTCAGACGTTAATATAAGTTTATTGTCCTGTTTGATAAGGACAGAAGCAATGGGTATACCGACAGCGGTCCTCGCCCAAGACTGAAGCTAATCACTCGCGACAGAGCTTATATAACTTCGCTATTTGACGTCACCAAGAGCGTGACTTCATTAACATGGAAGGCGAACAAGGAAATGTTTATGAACATATCGCAATGAAGGAGATTATCTTTCTGCAAGGAGATATCAATGAGGAAATATCCAGGGACGAATGGTGTTAAACATTGCCACCGTACAGATCATAACTCATGGATTACACTGCACACTCAAAATTCATTGTACTTTTTTTGCCTCATTCATATTTGGTTTTGGCGTTACCCATACTACGCTTTAAAAATATTTTGCCTCGCTGTCACGGCCCGTTTGATGAATCACATGACGCACGCAAGTCGTTGTTCTTCCATAACCCTTATTTCTCTGTGCAGTTCTACGTGACATTTGACTTGCTCCGCTACGTACGCAACGTTTGCATGGAGATCTGCGTCTTCCTGAACATTGAGCTCTTCAGAATACCGGGGCCTGGGGCGGGGGGCAACAGCAACGGGAGCGCCGCCCCCGCCAAACATGACGTCCGGGCTAAAGGGCGCGGCAGGCCCGTCTGATCCCCTCCTCTTTTAGCGACTTTAACTCATCATCTTCTCACTACTGCTTCACTATTCACTCTATTACGAATTATTTATCTGTTTCTAAGTTCTTCATAATCTATTCCGCTACATTCATTCTTCAGAATTTATTTCAGATGTTTTTTTGCAGTTTCTAAACAATGTAATGTCTTACGGATATTTTTTGCATGGTTCTCTCGTTCACTTTAATATTGATTATTTACTAATTTCATTACCGCATAGTCATACGCGAATATAAATTTAGCGTAATTATTTCCGCGAATGCTTGAAAGCTATAAATCATTTGACGCTTTGCTGGATAGCAACAACAAATATTAATAACAATTTATTAATATTTTCTTTATTTATTTAGCTTATCCTGATGCTACCAAATCCTCATCCGTGCATTATCTTTAAGATGAGAGCCTGATGCCTTCAGTGCATCAATGATATTCTTACGGAAAAGTTTTATGCGCCCCAATTCCAGAGCATAAACCCTTCTCTGCTGAGAATATTTGTATGTATAGTGTGTGTTGTTATGGGGATTTGTTGTAGAGGTGAAAGTGTCCGTTGTATTGTATAATAGTTCTGATGACGTTAATTCATAATTTATCATCCCTTGCTGCACTGCAATGCTAATGTTGCCATGTAAGAGCACGGCAGCACCATGAGTTATTGACTCTTACATCGTTATTCTAGTAATGTCACCAAGACCAAGTTCAGAATATAATTCATGAGACTAAAATTGCTTGCATTAGCAAAATTCGTCGTATTGGCGCTAAAAATATTAAATTTTCTGCAAGTAATGCCAGTCGTAGTAGAGTTCCAAGCAATAACATGCAAGGGAGTAGATCTGTAGATGCTGTAGAATGTTTGTTCCTTTATAGTTTATAGTATAGTAGATTATTTTAGGTGTACGTCCCTCAGTTAAATAGAATAGAAATTTTCTTTATGAAACAGTCACATCTCGGTTTGAATTTTCCATAAATTAGTCTTTTTGTAAATAAGAGAGTCGTGATCTAGTAACTTTGAAACTTTGTGTGCGTTTACTGCTGAGTTTTGAGTTCCCTGACCTACGAGGCCGCCACCTCGATTTCCGTTTTTCATTGTAAGAAAATAGTATAATATATATTTTGATGTTAGGGAAATAACCCATTTATTCCCTCGCCTTCATGTGTATCTCCAGTAGCTGATCAATTTTGTTCTTGCGATTTCGTTTTAATTCCATAGCGACTTACGCTCCTTGTACGCTTTTGTTCTCGCAATTGAAGTCCTGTTTTTATGTCCATCATTGTACTGCTCTTACAACGTCAATTACCTAGAGAAAAGTTGTTAACAATTGCAACATTATTTACTTAAATTCTAAATGGAATTTATTATCTTTTCATTGCCATCGTTACATGTGAGCCAAAGGAAATTTGTGCTAGTTTGATTTGAAGATCGAATAATGATTGGTAAAGTGATACATGAAACAATGATGATTGATATGTAATCATATTGTTGGTCGCTAAGATCTGACACAAAAAACGATTGCATGCAATCTAAATGCTGACGATGATGTCAGCATGCATGTCAGCATTGAAACTTAGGCATGTCTTCCTTGTAAATGATTGGCCAGCCGCATCATACTGTAAAGTGCTTCATCGCGTTGTAGCTGTGCATCATGCAATGCAGCATGCTGCATCATGTTGTATCCATACTTCATGCAATGTAGCGTGCTGCATCATACTGTAGCTATGTAGCATGCTGCATCATGTTGTAGCTATGCATCAGACAATGTAGCGTGCTGCATCATGTTGTACCAGGATATTAAACAGTGTAACACCCAGCATCATGTGTTAGTTCAATCAAAGTAGATGCGGATTATGATGCTAAAAATTGCGCTCTTCAGCAAGTCATTTTTCTCGGTAGAATGTATTTGCATGTATGGAGCAGGGGCTTCATTTAATATTTTTTCTGTGTATTATTGAGCGAAAAATTATTTTCTGGCAGTGCATTGATGATCATTGTTGGCCAAGTCTCACGTTCACTAGTAAAATTAGGCAAGCAACATATTTTTTTTTTTTGCTCTGCGCACCGTGATTTACATAACATACATGATTTTGTTATCATGCAAGCTGTGTAAATTTTTTTTAAACCTAGGCTACAATTTGTCTCTATGATTCATGAAGGCGATATTATAGATAGCCTATGTTGGAATTATGTAATGTTTTGTAAAGTTTGGAATTATATTTATTAAATCATTGAATGTATTCTCATTTATTATTTAGAAGATTAATGCACTGCTATGACGTTGGTGAAATCTATTTCACGTAACCTGAATAGATTCGAGCTCTATTAGGGTCTTTAAATAACTATTATCTGATTCGCTTAGTTCATACGTTGTGAGAGAGATGTTTTCTTGCTTGGTTATTAAATGATAAATCAATTTATTGTTTTCTAGCTTGCTTATAACAAATTTTGCTTTAAATATTTGTAGACTTGCGTACTTTTTTTGAAGGCGTAATCTCGCCCAGAGTTGAATTAATATGTTCAAACTTCTCAACGTTCAAGTTTTTTTTCACTTTATAAACTTTTTCTTTTTAATTATATGCGAACATTCTGAGCGGTATTGGTCGGTTGATCAGTTGCTGTTGAAAATAGAACGTAAACCGCCTTACTGACCTCAGGTCATAGTCGCCTCTCTTCATATCATCTCCCCTCTTCACCTCATCTCCCCTCTTCACCTCATCTCCCTCTTCACCCCATCTCCCCTCTTCACCCCATCTCCCCTCTTCACCCCATCTCCCCTCTTCACCCCATCTCCCCTCTTCACCCCATCTCCCCTCTTCGCCTTATCGCGGTCACAACAAAACTTTATCTAGCCCGTCTCAAGAAGTTTCGTGTTTCGAATTTAACCCATGCTATTTTACCGCATTAATTTTGTAAAATAAAAAAATCACGACGTCATACTTTTCGTTCGTTCCACCAAATAGTTGCTGTGCGATGGAAACCTTTCTGCCGCCCCATTGCACTGCCGTTGAATTCAAGCACCTTAACGATAATCAATTAATTAAGTAGTTAATTCAGAGAACTGTAGAAACTTGTCAGGACTTAGCTGAACTTGTTCGTTCATTTATTCGTAATTTATTCAGGATAGATTAATTGGGGGTAAAATTGTAATACGTTGCTGCGGAATACTAATCTAGCTTCGTTGCTGACAAATTTCCGTGTTGGTCGTTTTAGGTTAATTTTGGCTTCGCTTGAATTTGTAGTTTGAATTTAGCTACGACCCGAGGTAATTATGATTCTTCTTCTCTTAGCACTCGTTAAATCAAGCCGAAATTTTTCCTATCATACCTCAGGATTAGCGGAATTCTGGATGAATGTCAAAAAAAATGTAATGAAACAGGAGCTGTGACTCTCAGCCACGTTATGTACGTAAAAGAGACACACAGCAGTGAAGACTGTAATGGGCAAGCACGACTTACAATTAAAATTTAAGGCCTTGAAAATGAATTGTATGTGGTGCAATGTTTTGCCACGGGTAGCGTTGTGCTCTCTCTTCTGCGTTTCTAATAAACATTTACTTCAACCTTGTGCGTTTTTGTACGTTATAAATTTTGTATTATGTATGTTTTGCTTGATGGCTGATAGACGCGGCGTGGCTGCGAGTTCTTGTTAATTGTCCGTTACTCTGGTTATATTTCTACATATTTACAGTGCGAGGGAATGCGTTAAAAATTATTCAAGAAATGGAATTGAACAACGGCTATTCACTTAACATCATGATCCTATCTCGTCAATGATCGACTTGATTTTATCAGATAAAATCTTTTTCTCTTCGTCTACAGCGCAACTCCATTTTCTGTCCACGTAACGATGCGCTATTCCACTTTGCGTCTAACAAACCTAATGCAGCGTGTTAACAATTCCACCTTGACATCCCATCCAGTAATATTGTTTGCTGTAATATTCTATGCTTCATTTTCTACCCAATTCTGTACAATAATATTATTTACAGTAATATTGTCTATTCGGAGGCACCTCTTACCACTGGTTTAAGACGCCGGGCCAATTTGCTGTGAAGGTGATAAGCAGTCGTGGATCGTATCTATTTTTGAACGATCAAAGAAACGCCTTTCTTGTGTACAGATCAAACAGTCAACCGTTGTTTTTTCTCCTTGATAGTTTAATTTGTCAAAGCTATGACATTTTCCATTTTTTTAATTGTTGTACACAGCCACTGTCGTTCGTGACGAGAAAATTAACAGCAACTACAGACGGCAAGAGCATTCTCTCCAATTACATGCCTAACTGATTCATATCGAAACGAAAGAGCAGATCGATTCCCCAGAACAAATACTCCGGGTAATCTAAATTTAGTAACTGTCAAGAGATGAAAGGATATGGACCCCAACAATAGCAATATCTTGGATTCCGAACACCCTTGCACCTGAAGTGAACTCCATTTCAGTTAAGCTTCGACAGCGCAGTGTTGAAGTACCATACTATTATTAAAATTAGCGATCAAAATATCAATCTTCGTAAAGTTAACCATCCATTACGTAGAATAAATTTGTCGGCACTGAAGAAATAGGCCTACGGCCTGTTGCCGATTCGTCTACTTGAGTAAAAGAAACTTCATTGACTTCAAGGATGAGAACAATAATTATATTATATTAAAGAATTTATTAAAAAAAACACATCCCTTGGGAGAGTCGTATCGAAATTGCAGCCTTTTACATTGTTAATAATGGCGTCCTTTGGTTACCATTGACGGCATATGATGATATGAGAACAATTTACATTTAGTTTAGAGGCCCAATAATTTACAAGCGCTTCAACTGTTCAGCGACCTTGTTTGTCACAAATTTCTCAAATCAAAATCGTTCACCCACAAGAAATTCATCGCCCCGTTGCGAAAGGAGCAGCGTTAGCATCTCAAAGAGACTAACAAGGAGGGACAGGTGAAAAGCAACAGAAACGAAGACACTCGAACAAGAGGTCGCTTACACGGGACGTCGGCCGCTCGCACGAGAGAGACAGAGAAGGGAAATGTAAGGGATCCTACCTACGTCCCCTACAACTGCCCTGCCCACACAACAACTCAACCCCACAACTGCCCTGCCTACACAACAACTCAACCCTACAACTGCCCTGCCTACACAACAACTCAACCCAACAAATGCCCTGCCTACACGGCAACTCAACCCCACAACTACCCTGCCTACACGGCAACTCAACCTCACAACTGCCCTGCCTACACGGCAACTCAACCCCACAACTGCCCTGCCTACACGGCAACTCAACCCCTTAACTGCACTGCCTTCACGTTAGCTTAACCCCACAACTGCCCGCCTACACAGCAACTCAACCCCTTAACTGTCCTGCCTTCACGTTAGCTTAACCCCCACAACTGCCCTGCCTTCACGATAATTTAACCCCCACAACTGAGACCGGCGTTCAGGCAACTCGAGCTCTGTGGTGGGGCGCTCAGGAACAATGCCCTAGGAATGCGAGATCCCACAGGAATTTAGACGAGCACAGACACGCATCACAAGAGCCCTCTTAATTGCAGGGAAAAAGAACCATACAAATACAGGGCCAATGTCCAAATCAAAATTATTATATACAAGCCAAGTTTTCATACCCATAACCTTTTAATTATTATTGGTGTGAAGTTTGTTATTTTCATTACTCGCCTGAAACATTGAATTAGAATATTAGATGATGGCAAAATAGTGAAAACAACGTGCCTCGCTCCTTGGACTGAAATTAGTAACACTAATATTGCACGAACAATTTAGTTCGAAATTTTTCCTAACTTATAACTGTTGTTAAATCCTGGCACTAAAAACTCGCATCGACTATTCAAAACGCAGCCCACTATTTGCCCAAAAACGCAGCCCACAACAAAATGTCAATATGAACGATTAAATCTAACAGTTTATTTATAAGGCAGATTACTTACGAATATAACGTTAAGATAAAACTGAGTATTTACATTGACTAGTAATTTTTCGACAATGAACAAATCTAAACTGAATATTAATTAGGCAAATGCTTCTTGTGTGACGGAACAATGATAGCTATTAGTCACAAATGTTATGGTTTTTTGTCGAGTGAATGATTATGAATAATGACAGGTAGATATCATAGTTGTTTGTCAGTTTCATGGTAATTAGGCACTGCGGATTTAGTAAGGAAAATTTCGTCTCCACCGCAGACTCAAATTGGGCAATGCTGGCCTCTGGCATGCATCCTGACTCAAAAACGGATGATGAAACTCGGGACTGAAAATTCGCTCTCATGAGATGAAAAGACGGAAATTATTGTCAAAGTCGATACGATAAACTGTTTTGACTGTTTCCAGAAAGCTCAGCACTAAGTCATTCAAGACAACAAATATTTCTGTTAAATAGCCATAAAGATTTTGCATCACAATCTTAATATATATTCATTGTTAAAAATACTATGAAAATTGCAACTGCAGTTACTGCCATCACAGACGCAAATGTTTGTGGCTTTCTGTAACCGATAAATTATTGAAGAAATTATTCGAAATCGTTTGTCTTATTGAAGGATGTTCTGTACATCAGATAAATGTTTGTGACTTAATTCAAATTGAGATTTAGTTCAGAAGATGCGTATTGCCCAAATGTGAGTCATCCTGACTCAGTTTGGTCCGGCACAATGGCGTATTCAGTGCTACGTCTGCTCTCAGATTTTGCTGCGGGTAAGATAGTGTGACATCATTTGGACAATATGGCGCTTTATTTTTCGTAATACTATTTCAGAGATGAGTGGACATCTCAAAGTCGCTCCGTGTGTGACGCTGCCACTCACTTGGCGGTTGCCCACAGGTGCTTGTGCTGCAACACAAAGATTTTATTAAATTATTTTATTTTCGTATTGAATTCTGCAGAGTTATTTATTAGCAGATAAAATCAATGTTACTAAGCCATAATTGCCTTAAATAAATCTTCCAATTCCGTTTGTGGGTAAATAACATTTTGGACAGCCCCTCTGATCTTCTCAGCAAGAAGCGAGATCAAACGAATAATAGTTGCTGAAGCTCTGTGCGACATTGGAAAACTTCCGCCGATAAAACGCTAATAACGTTTGATTTATTAAACAAAAATCGGATGAATAAATTTGAGCAAAACACTTTGGCTTTAAACAACCTGTTCAAGATGTTAAAGTCGGACCGAGTGTTGAATTGAGAGTTGAATAAAGCTAGAACGCTGCCGCCCACATATGCAGGGTGATTCACGGAAACTTCCCATTTGAAAGCTCAATAAAAAAAGGACTAGTAGAGAAATCATTACCATGTAATGTTATTGAAAAACATCACTTGAAATTTTGTATCATTTATTTTAAAGATCACATAGGGGAAATGACGGCCGCCATTGTCAATGCTTTCAGATCCGTTCCACTAGCTGAAGTATATTGACGGGTATGTTGGCAATGGCTAAACGTATGTTGTTCTTCAAATGGGGGAGGGTCCTTGGACAGTCATTGTAAACAACTGATTTACGATAACCCCATAAAAATAAAACAAATAAAAAAACTTAAAAAAAACACGTTTTCTTAACGGACAAAAAAGGAAAACATTTACTCTTATATAGCATTTAAGTTATGTAAAATGTTATGTAATGTTATGTAAGAGTAAATGTTTTTCTTTTTTTTGTCCGTTAAGAAAACTTGGTTTTTTAAAGTTTTTTAATTGTTTTATTTCACTATTTTTAGTTTTGTAAAAACGAGAAAAACGTGGTTTTTAAAAATATTTTTATATTTTTTTATTTTCTACTTTTTAGTTAGCAATTTTAGCAATTCAAATCAATTTCCAGGGTTGGCAAGTGTGGATGTTCGAAAAAAAACTCAATTACAAACCGTGAATTTTTAGTGTTTTTCTTTTACTTTCTAATTTTTTTTTAATTATTATTTCTGATGACCAAATCTTGAATTGTTAGGCAGCATAAACATGCATGCCAAATTTCAACTTACTAGGATGTTTAGAAGTACTCTAAATTAAGGTTTGAATTTTTGATGACAGACACACACGAAACGAAGTCAAGAAAAACGTGTTAATAATTACACGGAGCCAAATCGGGAGATCGGGCCAGTCAAAGAAGGCCGATACCTCTCAATTAGATGAGGCCCTCTGCAAAATGTTTTCATGCTGAACGGTGAAGAGAACGCAGAACGTCTTGCTTTCTTTCTCTACATTTTTTAGTGTAGTGGCAGTCCTCGGACCTCTAGACCCTGTTGCATTCACACTTCCACTTGCCTGAAATGTGTCCACCCACGTAATAATCGATTTTCGATCAGGAACCCGAATTGAAGACGAATACGGGACCGAGTACGGAATGCGATCGTTGAGTAGCGATAATGAAACGGCCATTAGAAAAGTGCGCCTCTACAGCAAACGCACGTTGCTCGCTTGTCTAATGCATAGTGACAACTAATTAGACAAGAAACAAAACTTCTTCACCCTGTTTTTCATATGCGATACTCCCCGATCTTTTCCTACAACATTGTGCTGCTTGGCGCGGAATACAAAAGAGGAAGTTTCCGTGAATACCCAGTACAACGATGTCGGCATAGTCGTTGGGTAAAGTTATTGTAAATTCTACGCATTAGTATAGCCAGTGAACAATAAGTAAGCATGCGTTAAACGTTAAGGCGTGAAGGCATTCTGTTTTAGAGTGATTGTGAAGACTGTAGTTATGATGAACGTCTTACCGTGCTACTCAGTGAAGGCAGTTCTCACCGTCTCTTATCCTGGTGAACAAACAAATTCCTACGGTGAGTATGTACAATGATTTACAATATACTGATCCAAAATACAATGTACTAAGATCCAATGTACAATGCTGTACAATGTACCAAGACCTTACGACGAGCACACAAATTGGATACATTAAAGAGCAGAACATGCAGACTACAATTACAGGCAGTTTCTACAACGATCATTTATTTGTAAAGTTAGCAATATTACATGATGTTGATTTGAGTTTATACACCATACAACAAAAGAGTAATACGAAAAAATGCTGAATAAGCAGTAAAAACTCAACGTAGTTCTCCTGTTATTTGAACAGTGAAATATTCAGTTCCAGTTCCTCTCCAAGATCCTTAGAAGGAAAATATATTTTGAAATTAAATATGAAGACAATTAAGTCATTGATGGAAAGTAACTAAAATATAAATAAATAAGATTTGCTTAATTAAAAATTTCGCTCGACATGGTGGAATTTTGTGCAATATTTCTTCCGGAATATCTTAAATTTTAATAAATTATTCCACGCGGAGAAACATTGTACTTTTGATTTATAAGTACTTCAAAATTCAAAAAATAAATGCAAGAAAGTACAATGTAGCTAAGCATAAAATTAGAGGGTTAAGCACATAGAATAATATTAATAATTACTAACTTTTTATGCAATTAGCATTTAGCTTCAACTACTACAGTATAAGCTATGTACACAACACTCACATAAGATAGATATGCTAAAACGTAGACATGATTTACTCTATGAAGTATATGAACACTCTACATTTATGAAGCACAATATAGCTAGCAGCATTGTACAGGTGACAGCATAACTGATATTCGTACTCACGGTTATGTACTGCATTTCGTATGCGTCTGGAGCATCGTAAGTGATTTCGTATGGCAAGGTCTGGTACGCTTCCATCACGAGTACCAAACACAGGATGAGCACCACCACCACTGCAGTGCCAAGTACCACCAACCACCAGCACCACAGCAACACCCCCTCCTCCAGCAGTCGCTGTACCATATGTCAAGTATATAATTGTGCACGATATTAATGATCATATAAAACAATTAATCAAATAAAATTGATTACTTCAACAGCAATAGAAAACCAGCCTGTTCAGCGTAGACTAAAATAATAAGCATGACAAGCTATAGTGACGTCCGACCCTTCTTACTTCAGCGCCAGCCAGATAAAGTAGTCTTTTAAAAAGCAGGAATGTAAGTTCGGTATTTTCTATACTTTATTTTTAACACTTAAATTCCAGCGAAGAAACTGACGAAAAAACAATAATAAATTCAGAATGAATCTAGAAAGAGTAACCCAGCGTCTGGATCATACTGAATCTATTCAGAGTATTGCTTGTAGCACTGAATTAAAATGCGAGGTTACGACGACAACAATAAATTTATTATGAATTAGAAATGAATGGCTCAGCCTGAGTTATTCCTAATAATGTAATTACATTCCATTCATAAATATCATCAACGTCAATTTTGCATATCACATCAACGTATTTCGCAGATGTTACACCAACAGTGGTGCATTAGTTCAAGACTGAATGGTTTGAAAGGGAAGGTTATCGAACGATCGCGAAGAACAGGACTTTTCCGTAAATTCTAAATTCAGATGAAAGTAAAGACCGCAAGTTAAAACTCTAATAAGATTGAAAACAAATTTAACATCTCCCATATAAGAAATAACTGTTGGAATGATCACAGAAACTCTTGGACAATTGAGGTACAAATAACAACACACGGAGGGCGCCCACAAGTGAGAAGTGACCAGCGACTCCGAAACTAGTGCATTGAAATTGGTGCAAACAAGTTTCTCAAAACTAGTGCTTTAAAAGTAATTCCTGATATATAAAATGAGTAGTTCGTAAGTAAAACGAAATGATTTATATTCAATGGAACTCAAGGAAGTCACAACTAGGATATAAAAAAATAGTGAGGCAGCAGTAAACTAGAATTTTGTGAATGAAAACTTGTGAATGAAACTCGAGTGAACAAAATTACAGTGAATGATAACAAAAATATAAAGCAAAGAAATTGTCAAATAATTCAGCTTGAGCACGAATAAAATGGTAATAACGGACAGAAGAAGAACTTCAGATTAAACCGAATTGAAGCTTTGAATTTAAACTATTTTTGTCTTCAATGGGAAGATTTTAGGTCAACTTTTAAATATTGCGAGTATTATTCGCCTTGATTCTTCACTCCATTGCATACTTTTGTTTAATATTGTGACAGATGTTGGAAAGTCAGCATTGTAATGATATTTTCAACACAAATTTGGCAAACACAAATAAATTGACGTCCAATAGACTTTCATGTAATTCGTGTTGTTAGTATGACCAAATCACTGCGGAAAGCATATGTCAGAATTAAAATCTTAAACGAAATGACTAAATGACATGGAATTTTTTTTAATTTAATGCCACTTAACTATTGCACTTCGACCATGAAATTATTCCACCGAATCATTATGGAGAACGTACGCTATAAAATAAATCTACCAAAGTATTTCCACCATGAATCAGTATAGCCAAAATTTTGCAAAAAGACTACTATGGAATATAACGATTTAACTAAATGAATAAATAACTTGAACTATAATCAACTCAATGCTAACTGAATAAATGCAAATTGATCTTATTTTCGACTATTTCAAATTCGACTCACCCACGTCAAAACTCCCACCACAGCGATGGCCGAGAGCAGCGACACCCACTCCAGCACCAGCCACGGCAGCATCAGCTCCTCCAGCCTCTGTGACAAAATTACGATCAGGGTCGCCTGGTGAGATATACTCGGCACGGAGGAAAATATTTCGATCATACTGGAGTGGAGCGTGGAGTGAAAATGGGAGTGGAGAGTCGAGCATAGAGTGAAGAGGGGAGTGGAAAGGGGAGCGTAAAATGAAGAGGGAAGTGGAGAGGGCGAGCGTAGAGTGAAGATGGGAGTGGAGAGTCGAGCATAGAGTTAAGAGGGGAGTGGAGAGTGGAGTGTATATTGATGAGGGAATTGAAGAGTGGAGCGTAGAGTGAAGAGGGAATTGGAGAGTAGAGTGTATAACGATGAGGGAAGTGGAGAGTGGAGTGTAAAGAAGAGTCGATAGTGGAGTGAAGAAGAGATTGGGAGCTGGAGTGGAGATTGGAGTAGAGAGTTCAGTGGATAGAGGACTAGACACTAGACAGTAAAGTGGAGAATAGAGAGAGGATTGAATTTGAAAGAGGTGGAGAGTTGAGTGAAGATCGAATAAAATCCGTGCGATATTCATTCATTATAGAAGGTAAATATAGGATATATCATGCATATACACTAAACCTTCATCATTCTCACCCAGATGGCGGCTGAGAGTAGCAGCGTCGCGGCGATGACGCACAGGATAAAGTAGACCAGCAGACCCAAGACGCAAGCCCCTGCCGTCAGCTCGAACAGCAGCGAGCTCAGCTCAGGGTCTGTTTCAGGGTCTGCTGAAAAATGGATTAAGGTCAATTTTTCAGAGCTAGTTTTGATTGTATCTGAGCTAACAGGGTCTATTTCAGGGTCTGTGGAAATATGGATTAAGTTCTAATTTTTTTATATTGTTTTCATTATTTCTGAGCTAACAGGGTCTGTTCAAACATTGATTATGGTCTAATTTTGAGGATGATATTAAAAGTATCCACGTTAACATCAGTCAAGAAACATGAAATTCTGAACAATAAATTCTGTTGAAAAATCTTTTTTATTATGTTTTTAAATAAATAGTGTAATTTTGATAGATTTATGATGATATTGTTGGTGATAATTATTAATTCTAAAATCAAGTAAAATATATCTAGAAATTCAACCGTAATCTTAGTATTCGAATGTTTCCATATTATTTTAAAAGTCATGGTTCAACAGTAGCATCACCACTCAGGAAAGGAACAGTTGTAATCAATTAGTATAACAACAATTTATTTTAAAATAAATAATTATAATAACTGTTTAATATATAATAACAATTATATTGAATAATATATAATAATTCTTTGAAACATAACAGTAATAAAAAAATCAAATTCACCAGGATTTGTGGACGTTAGAACTGCCGAGATGAAGCCGGTGGTGGTGACGATGGGAGGGATGGTGAAGGTGAAAGGCTCATCACCAGAATAATTATCGTCTTCTAAAGAGAAGTTGTTGCTGTGGTGCATGCGGCTAAACCTGCAAGGTATAAAAACAATTATTCTATGCTCTTAAATATCAATAATATCCCCCAAAAGACGCTCTCCTTCCATCTCCTTTACGCCTAGTAGCGCCCTTTCATACTTCCTATTTATCCACTTTGTCCATTCAATCGTATTTGTTAACGATTCTAACTTTTACATATATCGCAGTTTGAGGTGTCCACCCAAATGCTTCTCTAGTTCTCAACGTGACTACAAGTTAATAACGTTAACGTTCAAAAAAATCTTTCATATTTCCCATTGCCTTCAACCTACTTGCTACTTTTGCTGTCCAATTTCTAATTTTGTTCATTTTAAGCATGGTAGTTCCTGGGTTTCGACCCATTACAATATTAAATAAACTTTTATTTTAAAAATATAGCATTCTTGAACAATTTATAAAATTTGGTCAAAGCCAATGAGTAATTGCATTGTACTTGACAATAATTTCGCCAACATCTGACCTCGGCTGGTCGCCGGACCGGAGTGGCTGGGCGGTCGGCAGGAGTTCGGTATCATCGAATGAAGAGTTAGACCGTTCATTATCTGCGATTAAATACATGAATGATAGTATGCATAATGAAACACGTGTATAATGATTTTAATTTCAAAGCATGTAAATAAATATTTTACCTTATCGATGCTATAGCAAGTTGATATACGACGCGTCAATTCGAGGGAACTGCAGAAAATGATAATATACTAAAAATTGAGCTTTAGAATATTTTCAGAGTCTGTCAATTGACTTTTATAATTATTTAAATAAGTGAGAATCATCACATCTATTTGTAATTCACTTATTTTTTAATGAAAATAATTTATAGTTTCCTTCATTACTTACTGTAAACTTATGCATTTAATGTATGTATGTAATGCATTTTCGCACTCGTATAACATTGTGTAATACATGAAAATCAATAGTTTTTTATACTAATATCGACAAATTTTCAATACATTGTAGTTTTAACACTACGACAAGTCAAATTATTCCCTCAACACATTGATAAATAATGTTAACAATAATCTCTTAATCTATATAATTTATTAACTTAGTCACTTGAAACAAAACAAATAACTGATATTTAAGAAATCAATCAAGCCTAAGACCACAGCGGGCATCCACGACAGTATTATTCAAAATGTCGTGTGTTAAGATTTTATGTTATAAGGTAAAAATAATCACCTGGAGTTGTTGAAGTGCTGGTAACCACGTATCCATCGGGAGCTGGACTGCTGCTGTCAAATCCATTTGTTCCTCCTGAAGAACTGCCATGAACCGCGTTGCTGATGAATAAATTAAATTTTTAATATTAATAGTAATGCCAACGAACGAAAGGAAATATTTATTAATAGAAAATTTTAGAAATACTCAATGAGAAGAAAAGCAGGTGCAAAAATATTTATATATCAATCATCAGCCGAGGGTCTAAGGCATTCATTTACTTCAGTAAACTTTTTGGCCCTTCGAACCCACACAATGAATGCACACACATATAAATATGTAAAAAAAGTAACCCATATTGCCGTTTTTGGCGAGTAAAAAGGAATCGAGAGGTTAAAAGCTAAACGAATGTTTTTTTTACCATACACAATGTTTGAAGATACATATTGAGTGAATGAGGCAATATTTAATGTTATAAAGTACATGAGACAAGTTTTCCTTGTCGACTCCTGATTTAGCTTGTTCTCCATATCTCTATAATGCCAAGAATTTCGAAAGGAGAGCTCTATATAATTTTGAATGAAACCTTGACCTTCATATAAGAATAGATTCAATTCAGGAATTTTCTATAATATAATGCGAATATTTCAATTTTCAAAATACACGAAATCATATCCTGTTGAGGCGAGTATCTTATAGAACAACCTGGTATAAGTCACATGTAAAACTCTACGGAGCTTGATACCAGTATTTTATTAACTACTTCGCTATCTTGTATTGTTCTCATGAAAGCCCAGAAAAAAAGATTCAAAAGAGCAATGTTCCATAGATTTCATAACGTTACCTTATTAGTATTTATTTCTTCATTTTTCTTTATTAATTGGAATAAACTTGGAAAAACAATCAACATTACTAACTTACCGAGTTAGAAGTCAGACCGAAATATTTATGTAGGTATGCAGTTCCGTTAAACGTGCCAGATGATTATTATTATAAAATTAACAACAACGTCTAAATTGCTTCAACCTTTGCAACGTTTTACTCACATTAAGGAATCGGTCGACACATTTGACGGGCTTTCAGAAACGATTAAGTTCGGACCTACTGAAGATAATTCCGTGAAAAGAGTATTAAACGTTGGAGTCACAGCACTTCTCCTTGTCACAGAAACTGACATAAATTCAGACGATGTTGGAAAACTCTCTTCCTCAGAACGTAAAATCCTCGGCGTTGTTAACTCCATATTGTTTCCGTTTCCTTCAGGCCGATTTGAACTGAAAGTATCCTGTATATCTGAAATGTTTGTAACTTTGTGATCCGGAACGTCAACGTATAAAACATGCGGGTCCAGGATAGTTGTCAGGTTATTCACTTCCTCATTCCCACCCAGGCTGGCAGAGTTGTTTGCAAACATTTCATATTCATCTTCAACAATGGGAATTTCAGTCACGTTCAAGTCATTTTCCGCCAAGCTATAATTTTCTCGCGAAAAGCTAAGATTCGAAGCTCCATTCCCTACATCATGATCTGAAAAATTTAGTGGTAAGTATCCATAGAAATCTTCGTTAGATCGAACGGTCTCATTATCTACAGATCCTGATGCATTATTGTTCAAATATAGAAGAGTGTTGGGCTCATTTTCGTCAAGAAAATCTTCATTCTCTTCATCTTCCTGAAGGAAGATACCTGTTCTCTTGTCTATAACATCAAGTACTCTAGCGTCTGAGCTTTCGTCAATGTCAGGCACAAATTCTCTTTCTCCTGAAACGTCATCTTTTTCTGGCTCGTCAGTCAACCGAATTTCGTAAGCACTTCTGCCCATCGGCTCATCGTCTCGGTGGTCTGTTCCACTGACGAGGATAACTTCAGAGCCGCTGCGGTTGCGGTTCGTCACTACATTACCGTCGGCGTCCACCACCACCGGCAGATGCATCGTCGTCAGTAGCGTCCATGACTGCGTCAAGACGAGTTCCAGCTTCGGGCCCTCGAGCGTAAGCAAGTAACTGCACAGTCCGATGCAACCTAATGCTCCGACCTGAAAAAAGAAATTTCGCTTGAATTTATGGGACTGTTAGAATACTGGTGAAATTTTCTACTCAACTGGACGATAAACTTCATACAATGCTTAATTTTAAAACATCTCAGACATGAGTTTGAATTTGCGTTGTGGTAATTATAAGTTCACTCTTATAACAAATTTTAAACATTTTTATCATCACAAACTTTGTTATATATATTTAGTGATAAACCTAATTTCGATGATAATGCACATTTTCATTGGCAGAACTTACGAGATGCAACACTGCAACACCCGCAACGGTGGTGCGGGGAGACGAGCAACAGCCCATGAGTAACTCCTGCAACGCTCTAGCTATCCAATTAACAGAATAATAAAGTTATAACTATGCTGCTATAGTTATAACTCTGCTTCTAAAAAAATTCAAGGGTCGTTTCAGAATTTTTTTTGTGTAGATTTAGATTTATTTCTTCCCAAACAAAAGCTAGATAATATGTGTGAGCTTCGGTGTTTGACGGATGCCGGCTGCTTGGGGATAGTGAATTTCAACTAATTAATAAACTATCACATTAAAAGATTGCTTCTAAAGTCAACACAAAAAAACTAAAAATAAAAAGCGAGATTGAAACAGCAAGCAGATATTTTTTAGTAATAAATAAATAAATATTTGGCTAATACATAGATGATGTGTTAGCCAAATTTTAAAACGCTTCTTTCAAAATTGGTTTTGTATTCGTACGTTTGTCTCCATATTACAGAAACAAATAGCATGTATGATTGATAAAAATATAAGCATAATGTAAAGATTACTCCATCTTGCATTAGATTTTATTTTATTAAATTGATGTCAATTCAACCAAAAGCTATTCCGATATTGAAAGGCTATTTCGATTGAACTCGTCACACTCATCAATTTTAGCTGAACCAGTCACAACTGAAAATTTTTGAAATGAATATTTTGTATTATTTTTTAGAGGTACTTTCACCCACATAACACCTTAAACTACTTGCGACATTCGTACTCTTTGCACAAATATCACGACTTTTCTGGTAAGTCTCACGGTAAATAGATGTTCGATTATTTAGTCATCTTAAAATGTATAATATAATAATAGTATTATAATGATAATTACAAATGATTATATAATATAATAATGATATAGTTCGTTATTATTTAGTCTTTTTATTTCAATTGGACAAGATTTCTAGAAAATTCCACAGGTTGCCAATGGCATACTTGAACCATCCCTGTTATATTTTTGGATTACTACTATATATTTTATTTATTATCGTAACTACAAATTCATCCTATCGGAAAGACAATTAATTTGATAATTTTCCTTGATAACATCAACATATTTCAATAGCTATAGCTCGTCAGGTGACATTTTATAACAGATGCTACTTTCAGCTGTAAACAGATTTTGCTCTCTGCACAGGAAAATCAATGTAACAGAGGCCTCGATACGCCATCAATGCAGCTCTGGCTGCAGCTGAATAAAAGCTGCAGTTATATACATATCATGTGCATCGAGCCACCATCAAGGTAACCCGTGATGCAGCTGCCTTATAATTACAGCAGTATAACAGATGCAGCGAGCTACCATCAAGGTAGCCCGTGTTGCATCTGCTTATAGTTACAGCTGTATAACAGGTGCAGCGAGCTACCATCAAGGTAGCCCGGGTTGCATCTGCCTTATAGTCACAGTTATATAATTAACAGATGCAGCGAACCACCATCAATGATGCCCGGGCAATACAGTTGCCTAACAGCTGCATCTATACATAACAGATGCAGCAATGTACCACGTGTCTCCGCCCATGGTCACACATCTCGACCTCGCACAGACGATCTCTGTTGTGCTCTCAGGGACACATTGAAGCATTCATTCTATCTACCTGTGCCTGCAGTGGCTTTATTAGATAAGCAAGCCTTCGATTTACTGGCAAGTGCTGGTGCTCGGCAAATTTCGGAATGCTAGCCTTTTATCTCACAGCTGAGCCTTTTGCTAGCCTATTGTATTGCTTCACGCATACTGAAGTTGAACACACTTTTTACTGCGATTACAATAGTCAGCCAGCAAGTTACCTAGTAAGTCAATCAGCTTACTAGTAAGCCTATTCAGCCAGCCAGCCTAGTAAGCCTATTCAGCCACACAGCCTAGTAAGCCTATTCAGTCAGCCAGCCATCTTGCATTAGCCACGCATTCAGCCAACTAGAAAGTCAGCCTGCCAGCCAACGTTATATTTTTTAATTTATATTTGTCATTAAATAAGTGAGATAAATTCGTCGAAAGTTAACTTTAATTTCGGAACAATTAGCGATTACACTTACAAGATCAAAATTTCGTTCCTTCTTTCATTTAAATATTAAAATAAATTTTTGATGTGGTTCGTTGTGCATAGAAACGTGCTTTGCTTCCAAGCTCCCCTCACCGAATAACGAAAGATAAATTGTAATAGGTAATAATTTGAACTATAATACCTACATATCGCTTAAAACTGGGACCAACAATCCATCTTCATTCCTCTTGCAGCAATAACAGATAACTTTTAGTTCAGACATTCCTTCTGTTCCGTCATTCTAATGCAGTAGAGTTAATTTTTGTGCAAACCTATAAGATATATTAAAATAGATTACCGAATTGAAGGACAATCATGCAGTTAAGTATCTCACAATGCCATTTCCAAAATCATAGCATTTACAATATGAAATATGCAGGTTCATTCAGCGACTGGGCCAGGCATATAACAAGCAACAACTCTAAAGTACTGCATCTATTTATTGTTCAGCAAATCATACATGTAGGAGGTCGCTATTAATGCAGCGCCACGCTCTGCACTCGACGTGTGGTGGTTGACGACTTGCAGGCGTGATGTGTACGTTGTTGATGCAAGGAAGCAGGTTTGTTGTTCAACTTGTTGGCTCAAGATCTAGCTACTGTCACGCTCATATACGGTGCGACAGGATGATTCACCGAGGACAAAGTGTAATAATGCCCAGTGTACCGTTTAATAAATATTTTTTATTAGGAATTTCTGGTTCGAGAATGAATGAATCAAGTTTTATTTCATGACTGGCATCATTGAAGTATTGAGAATGCAACCTGAACAAATCATATTCATATGAAGCGACTATTAAGATCAGCCGCACAAACACAATATATCAGATTATCAAAAGATTCACAGGATAATTCGCAATACAAATGTTATTCATGCTGATTTTTTAATTGAAGCACAACGATTATTGCTAAAATCACAAGCAATCGTTCGTAAACGAGCCACACGAATTGGAAGCTGCGTGCGAGGCTGCAATCACGAGACTGAAGAGAATCACCGACGCTCGACACCGCGGATTTCCGCCGGGTTTTTCTTCAGTTGCAGGTTACGTCACTAGAGGAAATTTTTGAACTTCACGCATCACTCGAAAATTTGGGAGTATTCTGAGTTATGTGATGAAATTTTTTAATTTCACGCATAAGTCGAAAATGCTGAGTATTCTGAAAAGTATGCTGAGTTATGTGTGTGAAAGTTCACTGAGGAAATTGATTGTATAAATATAATATGATTGCAGTTAGTATTTCGGAAATAATTTCGAAGGGGTGAGAAAATAAAATGTATATGACGGTCAATCCGCCAGATTTAAAAGGCCTCACTTCATTCGAAGACAGAATTTACCAGGCAATATCATATTGTAAGCAAAATCTAAATATTTACAGTGAAGTTCTGACTACAGGCGTCACTGAAGCTATGAAAGAGGGCCACCTGCACTAGCCGCAAAACAGCCTACACTCAGAGCAATGTAAGGGTAATATTGTACAAATAGCGACACACCATCTCTTAAACACACGAGTAGAGGGTAAACGTATCTCTGAAATGCTCTTGACCGGATCAAAACTGGCTTAGGATGACCAACACAAGCAAAAATTGCATCGTTATTTGGGAAAAGTCCCACTCAATTCTCTCAGTGTAGTGCATCCGACCTACTGGCTTCGATTGAGCGACCGCCGCTCGGCCCTCAAGAGACCTTGGCAAAACTCTTGGCAGTCTCGGGACTAAGCCAATGCCGCTCTATACTGATAACATTCTCTGGGCGTCTCTGTGCTAATGTCCCTGCTGCTTCTCTGATAATTTGAGATAACTAGAAGTGTTACGTCCGATGCAGCTCTTTATCTGGAATCAATTAAGGTGAAAATGAGTTCGCAACGCCCCGAACACAATTACTATTAGTTGACTCAAAGATTGCATGTTGTTGTAAAGGTAGTTTGTTTACACGATCATCAATGTTATGCCAATAAATTCAAATTTGAATTAATCAATTCATCACGCGGTTTATTGGGCAATATGGGTCTCACTTGCACTCAGTACCGGGAAGCAATAGAGAGCGCGCCACAATGATGCTATTGTTTCGATTATGCAAGGGAGATGAGGGTAGAGTCAAGATACTGATTTCTATCAATTGAATGATTTTAACTGAAAGTACTAAAGGGGCACATTTTGATTTGACGAGTGTGTATGAGATTTCGGAAAATGATAGCACAATTACATGAATTTAAATTATACATACCGGAAATAATGAAAATTCACTCGTGAATATAAAACAATTCAACCGAATTCCTTATATCTTCTCCTAATTCAAACCAACCATCAGGTATCTCGATACTTGCAACACTAGACACAATTGTGACTGCTAATGTCGTCATAACGATTGCTTTCGCCGCTAATAGAGCTGTGCCGTATAGAGCTTTACCGGGTTGATCTGATATCGCCTTGTGTGGCATCTAAAATTCTCGTATTCTATTGGCATTGCCAGTCAATCTAAATGCACCTAATGGCGCCTCTAGAACCATTAACGAAACTTATTTATTTTTATTTTATTTCCCGAGCCCATGCAATGACGCCGGCTGTATCAACCATCTTTATATAAATGACTCGCTTATTGACTGGAGATATCACTCAGCTTCCGAGTGCATCGACGCAAATATTTGCAGTGCCTCTGCATTGACGGACCAAAGCAATGAGCTTCATATCCTGCTAAGTTATAGTCACTGCTGATGAACTTTATTTAGTTGCCTTTATATCTTGGAATGCTAGAGCGCAGAAATAAATTCATGACACGCATGGCAAAAAAAAAAATCGGTTATTGATGAATCAAATGCTTTGAAGTCATTATGAATCAAATTGCATTCATTTCTTTCACTGATATGTGCCGGTTTTGATAAGATCAAGTATACAGAAGAAGCCATATCCCAGGTAATCATCCTTCGAAGTTTCCAAGTGCAATATACATAAATGGATATCAAATGCAGTTTTCTAAAATATTGCTTTATACTTGTAAGCGTTTTCATGATGCATGCTAATAATGCAAGAACGAACAACACTAAACATAATATTTTTACTGCTAATGTCGTCACAATAACCTCAAAAAGTTCAAAGGTTTGAATAATCAGCGAGAACCTTCGCTTCCAAACGTAATTTTTGCTAAGTTATCAATTTAATATGAAATTGTAGGGAGAATTATTGATAATGTTGCAAGTTTGTTGCAATAATTTGCCGATTTGTGGGAATTGAGTCAGCACAGAAATGACC